CATCTCTGTAAATAAGTCCTACAAGTTGATCGTGTAGTAGCTGATTACCAAACAGCCACACAATCCATTACAACACAAAATTGATGTGATCAACTAATGACTTGAGTCCAACATAAACACTGATGTGTTTAAATCTAAACTGGACCAATTCGAATGACAACCAGAGCGATATCTATTGCAGAAGTGCTGATCAGCTTGGAGATACAGGAATGTCCAATATTACAGCTTTGGCAGACTCAGATAAAATGATATATACTAATGTATTAGTATTAATGTGTTATCACCCTCTGGAGAGCTAAGGCACTGTAACACAACAAGTATAGAAGAGAAACATTTATCAATCCACCTACATATATTGAAAACTTTGAATACAGAAATCTTATCTGAATACAAATATTGGATTCAAATTACCAACAAAGAAACTAGCAAGAATGGACTAAAATACTCAGTCTCTTCACACATACATAACATACAAGGTCAAGGTAAAATAACCCACTTTGTAAACAACCTATGACATTTGAGTCATATATCCCTACAAATTTGTGAACAGGGTTCAGAATAACCCGCTCAATATCCTATGACACTTGAATCAAATAGCCTGCTTCATTCACACTGCCACATTTTTACAAACAAGATGCCCAATGGACCTGAATAGTCCACCTGTTCTGCAAGTTCATTAAGACAACCTTTGCAAATACGAAATCCCATTCCCAAAGCAGGCAACAACACACTCCAGCATGGTACAAGTCCAATATAACTACTGTGTGCCTTCTAATTGTTCAAAGATTTTAAGACATTTGACCCTTATGACCTTGAAAGTTGGTCATATTAATAAATCATACAAACTTATTTGCTATTCATTCCACTATCATACAGGAACATTATCAGTATCCTAGGTTGTTTGGTTGTTGAGAGAAATCATTTCTAGTAAAAAGGTGATTATGGATGATGGACACCATTCCAAAGCATAAACTAAGTTACCCTTTGGGCAGATGAGCTAACAAGGTTTAGAATAACCCACTGAAAAGCAACTGACACTTGAGTGAAAGACTCCTCCCTCCCCCTTCATCAAACACCAACAGGATTCATAAACATATTACTTTATTGCTATAAATCACATTGCATTGGAAAAAAAACAACATTCTATGTTATCAGTAAAACAAGAGGCACAAAGGACCTTAACTGCTCACCTATTCTGCATGCCTCAAAATATCAAAAAGTAGACATCTGAAGTTCTCGACACATTCCTCTCATGTAACCTTGAAAGCCAGCCAATGTCATTCATTTGAAGAAATTTGTTAGCCCTTCCTGCAAGCATGCTACTGGTCAAATATCAATACTCTGGGTCTCTTGGTTATTGTGAAAAATTCTATAAAGATTTAAAAATTTTTGCTTTCTGTGACTTCAAAGGTAGACCGTGGTGATTTCGGCATATTACTGACCTAATACCAGTACCCTCAGCCTTTTGGTTATTGAGAAGAAATTAATTTAAAAGATGGACAAACATTAGGATACAGCATAATTTAGTGATCTGCCCTGTCAAATTAGTTGTTCTAGAAGAACAGCAGTGTCGTTTTTCCTTTTTTATTTTAAAGTTGATAATTGCAATGTGCCAAAAGCTCACCAGTCCTTTGAACTAAGTGAGCTAAGAACTTGGTATTAAACTCTGTCTGTCTGACAAATAATATCAGTCTGCAAACACATTCAATAGTAGATTACGACCAAGCTTATCAAGCTACAAGCGAGATTTTCACCAAACATGACCTTTCCAGTAAGGTTACACTGTGACCAGGGCATGATAGTGTTGTCAATACCAACAATCTCGGCTTGTGGGATCTGACTAACTACCGCAGCAGGCTCTTCACAACTCCGAATATTGTACATCATCCAGAGTTAAAATTCACAGGTGAGTTTGTCATTTCATTTTCTAGCTAAAATTAAATAGAAAAATAATGTTTTTCATCTAGTTTGCACTTGAACAATCTCATGTGAAGTGTTACTTAGATCTTACAAACACTAGTCCTATGTTATCTACATCTTACAAACACTAGTCCTATGTTAATTATATCTTACAAACACTAGTCCTATGTTAATTATATCTTACAAACACTAGTCCTATGTTAATTATATCTTACAAACACTAGTCCTATGTTAATTATATCTTACAAACACTAGTCCTATGTTAATTATATCTTACAAACACTAGTCCTATGTTAATTATATCTTACAAACACTAGTCCTATGTTAATTATATCTTACAAACACTAGTCCTATGTTAATTATATATCTTACAAACACTAGTCCTATGTTAATTGTATCTTACAAACACTAGTCCTATGTTAATTATGTCTTACAAACACTAGTCCTATGTTAATTATGTCTTACAAACACTAGTCCTATGTTAATTGTATCTTACAAACACTAGTCCTATGTTAATTATAATCTTACAAACTCTACTCCTTTGTTAATTATATCTTACAAACACTAGTCCTATGTTAATTATGTCTTACAAACACTAGTCCTATGTTAATTATGTCTTACAAACACTAGTCCTATGTTAATTATATCTTACAAACACTAGTCCTATGTTAATTATATCTTACAAACACTAGTCCTATGTTAATTATATCTTACAAACACTAGTCCTATGTTAATTATATCTTACAAACACTAGTCCTATGTTAATTATGTCTTACAAACACTAGTCCTATGTTAATTGTATCTTACAAACACTAGTCCTATGTTAATTGTATCTTACAAACACTAGTCCTATGTTAATTATGTCTTACAAACACTAGTCCTATGTTAATTATGTCTTACAAACACTAGTCCTATGTTAATTATATCTTACAAACACTAGTCCTATGTTAATTATATCTCATAATGACAAGTCAAATATCCTACAAAGACAAGTGAGAGATAATTACCTGGGATATCGTTTTAATGAATAAGATATTTTTAGTGCTTTTATCTTCAATGCATAAGACATTGTGATTATTTTATCTCAAATAAGAAAGATATTTCCATTCTTATTTCCATCTTTTTTTTTCTTATCTTAAATTGGCGGGACTCTTTAGGATATTCCACACCTTTTTTCTTTATTTGAATGAAGTCATTCAATAGATGCTTTATTAAGGTTTATATCTTTACATTTTTATTTGTTTTTAGATTTTCTATCTGTTTATATTTTTTTAGATGCATGAGTACTTATATGTCAGTGTATACCAGCAAGAAGTCAGTTGATTTAATTGATATGATAAACCTTCATAAATGACCTAATTAGTAAGATATGTAATACTTTATTTACATCATAAATGACCTAATTAGTAAGATATGAGATACTTTACTTACATCATAAATGACCTAATTAGTAAGATATGTAATACATAAATGACCTAATTAGTAAGATATGTAATACTTTACTTACATCATAAATGACCTAATTAGTGAGATATATAATTTTTTACTTACATCATAAATGACCTAATTATTAAGATATGTAATACTTTACTTACATCATAAATGACCTAATAAGTAAGATACTTTATTTACCTTAAATGTGTTTTGTCATCAACAAAAATAACGTATTATGAATTTTTACCGTATATCTGAACTTTAAAAATAGATCTGTTTTTTATGTTTTATCATTTGTACTGATATGGAGGTGAAATTGTTTAATATAAATAGCCCCTGACGACACACTGATACAAACCAAATATGTCTATGTAACACAGCAAAATTTACTCTGATAAGGCCTCCTGATAATATTTACATCATAAACATAACACACAGACAGGAAGTTTTCATAGGCTTCATATTCTGTTGGATATTGAGTTAAAATAATTCTTTGCTTTTAACAAACTTTTAACTTTACTTTTGTTTACATCTGTACATTACAGTTAAGACTTTCAATCATGTATCATTTTTTTTATAATCATTTTACACTTTTTTATAATTTTGCATTATTTTGTAATCATAGCGCATTCTTTCAAAATGCTGTTTAATTATTAATATTCATGTTTCATAAACATTGATCACCTCATAAACCTCATAACTCTAAATTATGTACTTACCTTTCATCATAGTGATAAGAAGTCATCACATTAATACTTCAAATTGTTATAATTTGTCTCTAGCATGCTTTATTTTACAAAAACATAAATATTTAAAGTGCATGTTTTTATTTGAAATAAAACCATTATTTACATTGTTATAGTTATATAGACAAACAAGAGATTTCACAGGTATCTTGGCGCCCACCATTGTTTAATCTTTATTTACTCTTTGAAAGATTTGAACATTCATTTGCAGAAATTGTAATCTTTACCTGCCAAATCTAAAATGGCCCACAGGAAGCCATTTTGTTTCTTCTGATCAATTAAAAAATCAAAAAAGCACGAGAGAACATGTGTATGAAATTTAAGAAAGTTCCATCAAGTACTTCTCAAGAAATAGTGACAACAAACTTTCAAAGTCAAAATCCAAGATGGCCATTTTGTTTTTCTGATCAGTCCCAAAATAAGAGACAAAGGGAAACCTACATAAGAAATTTAAGAGAAATCCATCCAATACTTCATGAAATACCCGTAACAAACTACATTGAAAAAATCATGGTCACCTATCTGCCAGTTCGTTTATTTGATCATACCCAAAATCAAACGGACACAACTAAGGACCAATGGGAACCTATTTACGCAATTTGAGAAAGATTCGTCCAGTACTTCTCAAGAAATAGTGATAACAAAAATTGTTTACAGACGGATGGACGGATGGATGAACGGCGGACCTTGAACGCAGAGCGATTTGAATAGCCTACTATCTGATGATGGTGAATTAAAAATGTACAAAATACAGTTCAGGTCTGGTCTACAGAATTTTACGGAATAACCAGGCTAACGTATTAAAGATTGTGGTCAATTAACAATATAATAAGAAAGTAAAGATATATATTCATCTTTCAGAGCTAGCTCTCCTCGGAGACAGACAGCCCTGCTGTCAGTATGAAGACTAAAGTAGAAGACATTGAAATTGGCAGTGGAAAGCAAGATAGTAAGAAAGGTATCGTAACTTCATCCAATCAACATGGCAACAATAATTCTAGCATATCACCACCTGGTGACACTAACAACAAAATACCTCCCCCAAACAAGTCTGGGGAGGACAGTAAAGACACCGACCTAGAGAGTAAGAAGAGGAAATCTCAGACTAGCTCATCAGACAAAGTGATAAATACAGACCGAAAAGAAGAAGATGACCCTGATATCGTTGAGGAGATTACTAGGATAGGACACTGTGCCAAACTCAGACATAATTTCTGCTTCAAGACCTTTATATTTTTTGTGGTAATGGCTCTGAATGCAGTAGATATGATAGCTGATTGGTTACTTTTCCGAGACATCTTTCAGATTCAGGAAGGCCTCGTGTATGGACCTCCAGACAATGCCATCACCTATTCCTTACTGACATTCTCCATCATCGGAACATTCACATTTGTGTTTGAGGTTGTAAATCTATGGTGGGAGATTTACCGTAAAAATCCATGGATCAATGCTGACCTTGCATCTGCAGTGACCATCTGGATTGAAGACATTCCACAGATTATCATCAACCTCTTCATCGCTCTGTGTCGCGAGGAGGCCATCAGTTACTTCCAGTTAGTGAAGGCTTCGGTTATCATTGCTAGCATCATCATCAGAATCATAGTAAGTCTCATACACTACTGCAGTAAGAAGAACTTGGCGGAACTGAACGACCACACAAAAACATCCTGTCGTCATGTGACCTATCGATTCTTCATTATGATAGGACTTTTGGGTATATTCTCCTGCTCCGTTGCCGTTTTCTTCCTCACACAGTTTGAAAGAACAGAAGACGGAAATATCAAATTCAATCTACCCAAATCTGTGTTTGAAGGGCAATATAACGAGGAGCGATACTTTAAAAATGTCAGTATATATCTGCATCACCCCCTTATTGGTTTTGATAATGGTAACGTAGACAGCAATGACGTCAACTGGATCCGTCTCATCAGTCTGTACGACGTGAGGAAGAAAGACACAGAGATTTTCAAGCTTGAATATGATCAGACTAGAACAAAAATAGTAATATGGCAGACAAACCATTCTGGTACATTAGTCGTCAATGACTGCTACACACTGGATAGGACAGCCAAGACAGTGACTCGGGCCTCTTCTTGTGTTTCACATATCACTGGGCAAAAATCTGCTTTCATTTTCAAATTTGAATTTGTCAAAAAGAAAATCCCTACTTTGATATTTGGAGATGTAAGATTCAATTTAATTGTTAAAGAAAATGGTGTATGTCATGGTCCGTCCACTTCACTGGTCACTAAATTACGAGATCGCAGAGACAAAACAACTAATCAAATACATCCTGTCATCCACTATTACCGGACCAACAACGTAGCTGAGGACCACCACCTTCTTTGGACCAGCGGGGCCAGTGGTGCCAGATTTTACAAAAATCAGGCAGATTTGATAGATATTGCTACAGTATGGAGAACAGGATTTAACTACTGTGATAGTACTGGCAGTCTGGCTCCACACATATACACAGGGATTGATGTTGACTGTAACATCTAACTGTATACTGATAATCAGGCCCCACACATGTACATAGTGACCAGTGTTGACTGTAACATCTAATGTGGCTATATACTGATAATCAGGCCCCACACATGTACATAGTGACCAGTGTTGACTGTAACATCTAATGTGGCTATATACTGATAATCAAGCCCCACACATGTACACAGTGACCAGTGTTGACTGTGACATCTATTGTAACTGTATACTGATAATCAGGCCCCACACATGTACATAGTGACCAGTGTTGACTGTAACATCTATTGTAACTGTATACTGATAATCAGGCCCCACACATGTACATAGTGACCAGTGTTGATTGTAACATCTATTGTAACTGTATACTGATAATCAGGCCCCACACATGTACACAGTGACCAGTGTTGACTGTGACATCTATTGTAATTGTACACTGATAATCAGGCCCCACACATGTACACAGGAATTGGTGTTGACTGTAATATGACAGTACAGACATTCAGGCCCCAAACTTGTATGCAGGGATCAGTACTGACAAATGTGACAGTACAAAAAGTCAGGCCCCGTACATGAGCAGAGCAAAGTGTTTACTGTAAAGTATGACAATTCAGAGCCTCAGGTCCCACACCTATACACAATGAAGACTACATTTTGTACATCTTACCATCAAAGAATTGCAATTACCAAAGCCAAGCAAGAGATCAAATTCTATTTGTCCGTCACATCTACTGATAATTTTACTACAATTTATTCTAATACTGTAGAAGAACATTGATAAGAAAAATGCCCCATTAACTTGACCACAGTGGGGTGAGCTACACCATTTTACCTACATTCCCACCTCTCCAAGACATATAATAAATAAGTATGAATGTGTGAGAAATAAGGACGTTTATTTCATCAGGGCTGTCAAGAAACAGAATTTTGGCTGTCAGTACCCAGATTTCAATGTCTGACCAAATATCCGGGTAATCTACATATTCGTCCCTACATAAAGCATAGTGTCTATGTTCAGTGGGGCTTATAGCTGAGAAGTAATAACACTGATGATATCATATTAATTTCATCACATCAATCATCCTGTAACTAAAACAGAGCGGTAAAGAACCATATCAGGTATCAAATTTATAGTAATATAGTGTCTGATGAGCTTACGAACATGTTTACACATTAACATGTGCAACAGGAAGTAAATCTCATTGAGGCACCACATGTGTTATCAATATGACAATGGTTTATCTTACAACATTATGGATCATAGTTTCTGTAATGAAATACAGATTAAACTGCTGATAAAGATAATGTATTACTTCATTCAGTTCTAATTATCGACAAAGATGAAAGACAGAATGTTTCCTATTCTGATTACCAATGTACATATCCCCTGAAACTCCTTCATCCTGACCTGTGTTAGGGCACTGGTAACAGTCCTATACATTTTTGTAAAAGAGGTATCGTTAGCTGAAACCATTAAGCTGTTATATATCTAAGCCTATGGAAGAAAAAAGATTGAAAATTCACACTTTTCGGGCCAATCCTTCTACCACGTTGCTGTACAGGGCCCACATTTGTACAATTTTCAGAAACCCCTTGAGTAAAATATTGGAAGGAGGCATTATATAAACTTTATTAATTTTACAAAAATTGCAAAACAAGTAATGTCAACTTATACTAATCACTCTTGTTGGCCCGGATGTACGGATGTAAGCGCGCGAGGGGTCTTATTGTGGGAGGAAACCGGAGTACCCGGGGAAACCCACATGGTCAGGCAGGTGACTCCTTACCTTTTCACATCCATTCCGGGAATCAAACCCCGGTCGGCTAGGTGTTCGAAGGAAGGAGGCATTAAAAATGTGTAGGAGGTTTCAACAGTTTACAAACTACATATAATGAATGTAGGTCATCCAGACCCACTCTGTCAGAACTCTGAATGAAATGGAGAAAATTAGACTTACTAGAGTCTGTGATGTTCTTGGGAACCAGCTGGGCATCAGCAGGGTCAAAAGCTCCAGTTCTCATTACATAGTCTGTACTTAAGGTCATGGTATTGACCCAGTGACCATGACCTTGCAATGTTCTACACAACACTCCCTGGAACATCAACATTCATTTTGTAAGGATTTAGGCCTATCTAAGAAAAACAAATTATAAACATTACTTCATCTCCTACCTACTAAAGCATGGGTATTGCTGTCCAATGTGAACATATGAGGGTAACATAATCTTGGTTTCCATGAGATTTATTTCTTATGAGAGGGCACTCTGATTGAAATAAAATTTATGAATACTAAATGAAAACATTTATCACATAATCGACCTGTTTTCCAGTTACTTGGCCTTTGTAATATGTCTACATATATCACTAGTGTAATATGCTCTGGAGTATTTTTCATTGGCTGCAGCAGTCAGTAATTGATTGTGAGGTCATAATATACTGTAACTTTTTTTATTTATGTGATAAAACTTATTTTAAAGTTTTGAAAACTTCAAAGACTTGTTTCATAAAATGAAAATATCCTATATATATGATTTTGAAAGAGAACAATAGCAGAATCATAGAAACAAGGGCCATCAGGGATGGGTTATATTCCTCAAATGGGACAAAATTCAAGTATGAAAAATAACAAATGGCAAAAGAAGAGTTATGATTCTTGTACACTGCCCTCCTTCTCAGTGGGATCTATATATAATTGATTTTTATTTCAATCTTAAAATCATCCTGTATATATTGCAAATGACGGTTCTAGACAATCTGTTTTCATCACAAACACGTGATGGACAGGTGCTCATAAAATACTGGTGTATGGGAACCCTTCAATTTTTTTTTTTTCATTCTTCCTATATTTTTATGTCCACATATAAATCACACTGGTATATAAGCTGCACACCTGATAGTTAAGGAAAAAAGCAGCGGCTTATAATTCGAAAAATACGATAATAACCCAGCCAAAATTTAAGTATGAAAAATAACAAAGGGCGATATCTCCTACATAATCAAAATATTTTTCATGTTTTTTTTTTCTTGAAAATAAAATTCATAATATGTGGAATTGTGTGTTTAATTGCTTTGATATGGTATTCATATTTGTTCTAAATTATAACATTAGCCTGTATTAAGTTGCCTGCAAAGTTATTGATAACCATAGATCATCATACTTACATTGTCTCCCCTCCACACCTTGAGGGTTCTGTCCTGGGAGGAAGTGTAAAGGAGATTAGTTCCGCCCCACTTGACACAGGTTACAGACTGCAGGTGACCAGACAGTGTGATTGTACACTGATATAACATAGTATCCCAGATCTTTATTGTCCCATCCTACAACAAAATCAGACCTCGTCATATGCAGATATAAAATCATAGTGTCTGAGATCTCCAACAAAACCAGACATCATCATACACTGATATATGCCAGAAATATATTATTAAGGAAACTCTTCCTCTCTGTTTAACAGTCAAATCTATCAGCTTTCAGAATGTTCTGATGCTTTGTTATTTAACCAAAATAAAATATTTCATCGACTTGTCTAAATATTTGTTTAACTAAACATTTTGTAACAGATCAAGTTTTTACCTATGCACAGTAATAAAAGAATAAACAAAACTTACCTTTGAAGAACTTGCTAGGAATCGACTTTCTGGATCACTGGAAGGCAGAAAACATTGTATTGTCCTATACTAAATGATGGAAACAATGTATCTCCAGCACAAAGGGCCAATGATACTATGATACATTTAACAATGAAATCTATGACAACACTTTAATCTTAATACATTGGCTTTGACGAAAACATTGGATCAATCCACATTCAAACTTCCTATCACTACAGAGAAGAAACAGGCAAAATCAAAAAAGGAAATCAGAGATATATCCTTACACTTGTGTATTACTGGCACAATATCTAATTCCTAGACGCTCCGATTAAATAAATAAAAATAGGTAAGAAATAAAGCTGATAGAAAGGATAAGGAACTCCAGTACTACATTGTGTCTAGACATGTGTCTAGGTTAAGGTACCTCAGAATTACATTGTGTCTAGACATGTGTCTAGGTTAAGGAAATCCAGTACTACATTGTGTCTAGACATGTGTCTAGGTTAAGGTACCTCAGAACTACATTGTGTCTAGACATGTGTCTAGGTTAAGGAACTCCAGTACTACATTGTGTCTAGACATGTGTCTAGGTTAAGGAACTCTGGCACTACACTGTGTCTAGACATGTGTCTAGGTTAAGGAACTCCAGTACTACACTGTGTCTAGACAGGTGTCTAGGTTAAGGAACTCCAGTACGACATTGTGTCTAGACATGTGTCTAGGTTAAGGAACTCCAGTACGACATTGTGTCTAGACATGTGTCTAGGTTAAGGAACTCCAGTACTACATTGTGTCTAGACATGTGTCTAGGTTAAGGTACCTCAGAACTACATTGTGTCTAGACATGTGTCTAGGTTAAGGAACTCCAGTACTACATTGTGTCTAGACATGTGTCTAGGTTAAGGTACCTCAGAACTACATTGTGTCTAGACATGTGTCTAGGTTAAGGAACTCCAGTACTACATTGTGTCTAGACATGTGTCTAGGTTAAGGAACTCTGGCACTACATTGTGTCTAGACATGTGTCTAGGATAAGGATCTCCGGCACTACACTGTGTCTAGACATGTGTCTAGGATAAGGTACTCTAAAACTACATTGTGTCTAGACATGTGTCTAGGATAAGGAACTCCGGCACTACACTGTGTCTAGACAAGTGTCTAGGATAAGGAACTCCAGCACTACATTGTGTCTAGACATGTGTCTAGGATAACGATCTCCGGCACTACACTGAGTCTAGACATGTGTCTAGGATAAGGTACTCTAAAACTACATTGTGTCTAGACATGTGTCTAGGTTAAGGAACTCTGGCATTACACTGTGTCTAGACATGTGTCTAGGTTAAGGAACTCCAGTACTACATTGTGTCTAGACATGTGTCTAGGTTAAGGAACTCCGGTACTACATTGTGGCAATAGACATGTGTCTAGGTTAAGGAACTCCAGTACTACATTGTGTCTAGACATGTGTCTAGGTTAAGGAACTCCACTACTACAAGTGTCTAGGAGAAGGTGACTTACAGGTGTAAAGGTTTCCAGCTCAGCCAGGTGATCCACTGTTTATGACCTACCAGTGTGTTTCCCAGCTGTTGTCCAGTACCAGGGTCCCAAAGACACACCTACCAACAGATACAGTCGACCACCATAATTTTAAAATACCACATGATTTCCTTGTTCTTTAGTAATATACTAATGTCATATTTTTTAACTCATGTACAATTCATGTATAACCAGTGGTAATATCTGGTTCAAACAATTAAACAATGTTACACACTTACAGATTGCAATGTGACAACTGATTTCAAGTTTGACGTGGAAATGTCCATTTTCTACAAAATCTTTCTGTCAAATCATAATTGATTAAAGTTATTACAAATTGTTCATTTTAGCTTGCCAAAAGCTTGCTGTATTCAAAAATGTTTAGATTCATTTCTTAAATGGAATATTAAATGGAAACTCAGAACCTAAAAATATATTCTGTGTGTCAACTATCAGTCTTCAGGTAATCTAGGCTTAATTTTTCTAGCTTAGTAGATATATTCTAAAGAATCATCTTAATTAATCAATCCATGTAAAAACCAAACAGTATTCCACTACTGTCAATACTAATTATTTATGCCAGTTATTGATATCCGATCTTGTACATGCTGTTGAATTATTTTACATGCTCTATTCTAAAATGACTACAAAATCCCAAAGAAAGAAACAATTTTGATATTGGCTAAATACATTCTATTTACTGAAAAAAAAATTAGAAAACAAGAAGGATAAGTGGACATGTTACTCACCTGACTGTTTTTACAGCCTGATGCCAGTTTGCTGCCACCTGGTGACCATGCTATACACAACACCCAGTGCTTATGTCCTATAAGAAAACAACAATAACAACAAGTAATATACCAACGTTATAATCTGAACAGTCTATCAAACCAACAAGAGGCCAAGCGGCGAGCTTTGATGGTACCCGGAGAAGCAATATTGAATAAAAAGGTTAAAGGGTAGTTATCAAGTGTCATGGAACAGAAATCATTACACTGAATAAAGTAAGCCAGTGCCAATACATGCATACTATCAAAACTGTCATCCTATAGTCAAATTATTCTAACACAGTTATGTCCAGAGGGAAATAACCAAAGTTATATTCAAAAATTCAATTTTTCTAAGAGAATTGCAGTAGAGATTAAAACATTCCTCCCCAGAAGGAAATGTGAGACCCATTTGGTAATCAAAACACCTTCCATGCTTCCATCCATACAGAGCATTTGATTCTACCATACCTGGGTGTTGAGAAGATTTTTTTAATTAATATCAACTTGACCCCTTTTGGCCCCGCCTCTCAGTCCCTTGGGGTCAGTCAAAATCAATATGGACATATTATCAATCTGTCATCCTTCACTCATAATTCTAGCCAAGTTTGAAATATTTCCAATGGAATTTAAACAAACTATACTCAAAAATCTAGTTTTCCTATATAAAATATAGTACACTTTACCCACTCCCCACGCAGAAATATGAGTCCCTGGGGCCATGAAATTCACAATTAAGGTAAAGCACCTTACGATTCTTCCATCCATAAAGAGTATTTACTTCTACCATATCTAGGAGTTGAGAAAAAGATTTTTGAATCCAAGTTAATTTGACCCCTTTTGGCCCCGCCCCTCAGGCCCTAAGTGGGAGGGGACTGTATAATTCACAATTTTGGTTCATCTGAGGCCAGGGAAGGTTTCTTCATTGAAATCTGATCAGGAGCTTTTGAGAAGAAGTCGAAAATAATTATTTGTTTATGGGTACACAATGCCAGGTGAAGATGATCTGGTGACTTAAAAAACCAATAAATTGTTACAGTAGATAATTTTAATATAAGAAAAGAGTGATACTTCTATAATATTAAAATGGACAGCATCATCATACATTTGACCAATTACATTGTAAATACTGACTCATCCTCAACACCATATATTGCCATTCTACTGTCAGTTTACTGTTTAATAAAATGTAATCTAGGTGGGAGTGTACCAAGCTATACATGTATCATATGAGACTGTAGGAATAAATCTAGATGTCTCCCAGTTAAATCAAAATGGCCACTGGTCACTTGCAGTATCAATATCCAGTGAAACCCATTTAATATCATGTTCTATTTTTCAGAGTGAAATGTGATAAATAAGCAGAATGTGATGTTAACAGTTGGCATGTTTTTTGGGAATTTTAACTTGTCTAATGTGCTAAAATGACTTGTTTCTTACAGAAATTGCTCAAAGATCAAAATTTGTAATATGCTTTGTTTTTCCTATATACAAAGTGATCATTCTTTACTATCATATCTGTTGTTGTTGAATGATGTAAGAAAATCAACATCCACTCTATAACACAAAAACAAGAATAATTCCCAAAGAAACACTTGACACATTGTTCTGTAAGATCTGACTGAAAGCCACATCATTTCTTAATGAAATATCAATGTGCAAATATACTGCCTTTATTTCAAATAAACGAAAAAAATAAAGTAATGTAATCATTTTTAAAAACTTTGATAGTTTACTCTTTTACATTAATATTCAAGTTAAATTTGTGACTATACTATTCCATACAATCGCTGGACTTGCTGATGTCAGCATTTTGGTCAAGAAAGTAATCAAAATACAATTTTTGCAAAATTATATATAAATGTTAACTGTTACAAAATTTTAGACAATATAAATATAATTTATGTGACCAATATGTAATTGTGGATTATCATGGATAACAATAATAAATGATGTAACTAAAATTAAATTTACCAACTCCTACATACAAAAACAAAGAAAACAAAATAAGATTTTTATCAACTATAAGTCTCACCTTTACATGTGTACTGTGGTGTTTCTGTGTTGACATCCCAAAATCTGACGGTAGTATCACCAGAACCACTTGCTAGATATCTACAACACACAAAACAACATCAACCAATCTGGTTATACTTCACAATAGTAGTCATCAATATCACTGACTACTATAGCCTATGGTTCACAGATTAGATTAGATTTTCTGTTTACATAACAAGGCATTTGTTAATCATTTTTCTCGCACCAATCGTCCATTCTGAAGGTCAATATCATAGATACCTGAACTACATATGTCAGTAACAATATCAATTTCAGTACAAATTCTGTAGTGAAATCAACATCAAATTTGAAAAAAATGTGTGAACTGACTGTCCTTTTCCTATTTCAGGAGGTTAAATTTGGCACATTTGTATCATGAAAATAGCAATGCACCTGACATGTTGAGAAGATCAATCCACATCTCCACTTCAAAATAATACTTGCAATGATGATTAAAGACATATACCAGGCTTTGCAAATCTGGGACCAAGAGTTCACTTTTTTTTACCTGCCATCAGGACTAAAGGACACAGCGATGACTGCCTCAGCATGTCCAGCAATGGTGCTAGTACAACGAGTAACTGCTCGGACTCGGAAGATAGCCTGAGGCTGATACACAATATCCAGCACCTTCTCTGTGTTTTCAAGGGCATCCTTGTCCAAACTGTCAGACAGCGATGTTGTGATCTCATTGTCGTTCACGAAAAAGGAATAGGGTACTGCTTCGGTCTGTGGAAAAATTTAAATCAGTGTTTTTTATCTAAAGATTTTTACCAAAAATTGTGAAAATTTCCCAATCTTTGCTTTATTTTGTGAACATGACAATTTTCTTCTGTGAAACAGGATGAAAACTTACTAAAAATAAATATGATAATATAAATCCTAATCAAATTCCTAATGTGATAGCTTTCTTTAATAAGTTGAGGAACCTAGCCAACTGGTTAAGTTATAGTGGCTCATATTTTGTTCTCTTGAGAATGTCAATAAAATACATTAGAATACAGTTGCTTTTGTCTTTTCATTATTTTCTCGACTCACTTATGTATATACAATATGATAATTAATACTGTACATGTTGATGTAAGACTGATATGAAATCGCTACTCACATTACTGAGTATTGCATTGCAGATGAGCTGTAACTTCTCAGGTGTAATATCTACAGGTAAGTCGAATGAGCTTCCTGCCACTTCACCTGTTTCACTCTTGAACTGAGCAAGGATTCGCTGTCCAGTTTCTCCCTCTGCTTCATCCACATTTTCATTGTCACTGTACAGTAGCAAAGAACATAGTAAAACAAAGCAACAAGAAAGAGTATTTTGCTTTAAGTGTGGATATAGGACATTGACTCCTTCACCCCCTGCTTCACAAGCAGGGTCATTTCAAAGAGAAACATAAAGTTCTTTTAAACTTTTGCAACAGAAAAGGGTGTCATATTTTTGACATGGCCCAATAACCAATGCATTTTTGATCATTTTTACATAAAAAGTTTTGAATTATATTGTCTCGCCTTTTGTGAAATATCACAAAGTTAATGGAGAACAAAGTCGGTGTTATAAATTGTCATTTTAACACAAAGTTAGATAACAGAAATGAACATTTTCTTTGCAATTCCTATGATGTGCATTGCCGCATTGGCTATTGGCATGGGTCACATTAAAAAGATGACACCCATTTTTGTTGAATTCTTTTTTTCATTTATGTTTCTATTTCAGAATGACCCTACATTTTAGTTATTAACTGATGACTCAATGCGGTAATTTTATAACTGTCCCCCAAATGCAGGACCATTACCTATAGAGGGGTTATGTCCAACCTATTATATATCCCCAAAAGAGAATGCCAATATGCCATTTTGAATAATTATCTTTGAACTTTGAGAAACATCTATGACTTTTATACTAACGTATCTATGTTTAGAGCATAGTCTCTCTAGTGACAGGATGTCGAGCTACAGTATCCTCATAACTATAAAGTATGTATCAATGATAACCACAGACCCTGTATCAGTGGTGACTTCATTACACAACTGTGGATTTAACGGACAGCACAGTATCAAAGCAACAATGCTATAAAATATTACACTGTAGGTGAATGTGTTTGCTCCATATTGCTTAACATGATAATTAATGTCTGATTACAATACCTCATGATGATATCGATGTCTTGTTGACGTTTCTGCTAGATTTACCATGTGCTTCCGGTTGAGAATGGGGAGCAGCTGTTATTTTATTCAGATGAAAAATATAGTAATTCTTTACCTATATAACTAAATTATACGTATATTATGTATTATAGCAAGTTGAATTATAATAGTGCAATTTATTCCTCTCGTGTTGAGTAATATTGTGTAATGAAAAAATTATAAAAGGATTACTCATTTACTACGTCAGAAATAAGTTTGGAGTATATAAATAGTGTTAAGCGTTCGAGTGACTAAGAAAATCCAAGGGCAGTTCCAAAATCTCAAAATGGCACTACTACTTGGAGGAAGACTTAATTTACCTTTGTCCACAGGAACTCTGACGTGCTTTTGTAGAAATGGTATGCATGCCAACTTTCATGCATTAAATCTAAATACGTCTATGAATTTATTTGCCATTTGTATTAATTGAATCACCAGTTTTGACGGATCATGGTCGATGCCTTGTAACTTTTTACTTATTTTGTAGTGAGATGTTGTTCTGTGTCAACCGCCAACTCAACTGAGAATGCGTCTCCGAATGCAAACTATAAAATAAATCCCGTGTTTCGGAACAGAAACCCAAGGTAGATGACCTTATAGAATAAACATTGAAGAGATAGTGAACATCCTCAATTTTTTTGAAGATTAACTGTAGTCTGTACAATAAACCCTCTCAATTCAGAGGGTAGATAACGACTTTAACCATATACTGTCTTTCTTCCCAATTAACATTATAGATAATGAAGAATCTGATGTATTAAGAGTTTCAGTCCATCCTCTCAACTCAGAGGGATGTTCATACCCATTTGCATGGTGTTGGATCTTTTCATCACAGTAATTAATGTTACAGATAGAATCCTTTCATTAAAAACACTTGTCAAGAAAACCAGTTAACATTTCCTTTATCAATGAATGAGATTGTTAAGAGTTTTCTGGTGTTTTTTCAATAATAATATATACATCTATTTCATGTGTAACAGAGGTCATAATCTATTTCAATGCCTCTGCTAGGAATCAAACCCGGGACCCCTGGCTTACTAGTCTGGCGCTGAACCAATCGAGCTAAAGAGAAGTTCTCTCTAGCTGAGTGGTATATTGCGGCTAGTATTTTACCAGGGTTACACATGAATACACTTCTTTTCAGAATGTACAAAATACATATGATTTGGCCATCCTTTTGCAATAGCTTTAATAAATATGTTATGTTTTAATAATCAGAAATTTGGAAAAAATGGCTTTGGCAAGAAAGCCACAAGGATGGCAGTTCCAAGATAGAGTACAGAAGTCCTACCACCTGTAAGTATTCAACTATTTCAGACATGTTAGGTAAAAAGTTGAGTCTAACATCACTCCAAAGTCTATTTTTTAGCTCCCATGATATAAAGTGCCAGAGAACTTATGGTATGGATCTATCCATAAATTTGTAACTTCTTTAAAGGAAGTCAGTGCTAATATTTGGCCAGGAGGCACCTGGGTCAAACCACCACAAGTTTTTCACATAAGAATTACCTTGACCTATTTTCAAGGTCATCACAGTCAAATCTGTTGAAAATTTTAAGGGTCATTTTCTCAAGTTCTAGAAGTAGAAAAGGTCTAGTATTTTTTCAGTAGGTATCTCTGATGGAATGTTCCATAGCATCATCAGTTGAATGACCTTCACCTTCTCATATACCTGACCTCAACCTATATTTAAGGTCACAATTATTGTAAAATAAGTTGAAAACTTGAATTATCTTCTTTTCCAATTCCTGAATGTCAGTAGATGTAAAATGTAGAATGTAATAATGTTTCATCATATTAATAACATTAACCTATTTTCAAGTTCAGAGGGGTCAAATATATTGAAAACTTCACAGAATGAAGCTCAGAAAGACAGCATGCACTGATGCTTGTCCAGGCAGTACATGGAACAGATTGCTATTATGATATGTAACTGGCCAGGACCTATCTTTAAGGTTGCAGGGGTTAGATTACTTTAACACATTTAAATGTTTTCTTCTCAATTTCCATAAGACCCAGAGACTTCATTTTATATCAGCAGACACCCAGATTAAATATTTTAGAATTTTTTTTTCAAGTTCAAGAAGACTCAAAGCCCTGATATTATGTCATCATGTACCTAGGTTAGAAAGTTTTATTTTTTTATTTGTATATGAATGATCTTGATGTATTTTTGAGGTTATAGGTGTCAGATATGTTAAAATCTTAAAGGGTCTTCTTCTCAGATTACCTCTTCTAAAGGTCTCTCATCAATTTTATAAGCAAAAGACTACAGTTGCCTGGGGTAGAGTCTTTTGAAATTTTTCAAATAAATGACCTTGACCTGTTTTCAAAGTCACTAGAGTCTAATATAAAATTTTAAAAATCATCTCAAGTTTCAGAAAACTCAGAGAGTGTCCTGATGTTTTGTATGTAGGTACTTAAAATGGAGCACTTCAGATTTTCCATGAATAAATAACGTTCAAATTCTCAGGGGTCAGATTTGTGAAAAATCAAACACCTTTCTTGAAAATTAGTGTATCAAGAGCAGTCATATGTTATATATGAACAGCATCTCTTTGCAATACTGTGTATGGTTTCTGGTGTTCATTGGAGCCTTGAACAAGGAAAACACATTACTTGATTTTTATTTTTGGCAATCCTCCTCTAATATCCATTAAGATTTACAGGCCCTCTTGGTCTCTTTTTTCCTTGTTAAACTCTCAATTAGTAGTTGGTATTTTGTCAATTCTCAAAACACTCTTCATTCCACTTATTATAAGATAGCAGAAATATAACCCTTGCATTCAGTTAGTTTAAAATAGCATTTTACTTAAAGTTGTTTGATCATCTTTATACCGGAAGCTAACAGTTACTTGATACAGGTATTAAACTTTACTGGTGTAATGATAGGTTGACTTATCAATGTATTGTGATAGCTTTTTCTCAATAGCAATAGCATATTTTCAAGGCCATAAATATTGCAATAGTTTGTTTAACAATCGACCCGTCTTACCCGACCCCCAGGCTGTCAACACCTGATGACATGTCATAATCTCTGTGTGGAACTTCATGTTGGGATCATTGTAGTCTTGCATTCAAGCCAATTTTATTTGAAAGAAAAGGTGTATTTTTTTGAAAGTCAAAAAGTGTGTAAAAATCTTAAGGGACTCGAGACATGTCTGATCTAATATTAGTGCTGTCCATTAAAACTTCTTTGAATTGCTTCTCTTTGGCAATCTTTAAAAGTAAAGATATATTTTTATATTGTACAAAGTAAACTTAATTGATTGGAGGCTACCATCTTAAGTTGTGATTTCTAAAACAAATGTTTAAGATGATTTTTTTATGTGATACATTTAGACTTTAGTTACATATATGTGGCACTGTACAAGTTACTAAGACCGAGGACAGTATCCAAACTTTCAGATATTTTTTTTTATCTTTTTCAGGTTAAGTTATAAAATGACTGACAGAAAAACATCAGCATCAGTCAAACATTTAAACGGAAAGTTCACCATCAAATTTTCTACAGACACTCCAGAAATGAAACATGTCTTCACTGGGTAGGTTATATAGCACATTATATCCTCCATTATATTTATCTTAGGTGGAACATTAGATCTATTGTTTTGTGTTTAATTAAGGTAAAAAGAAAATGGAAAGTCCTAGATTGTCATGCATTTTAGCAAAATTGTGGAATGTGAGTTGTAAGAATTAAGTGGTCTTTTGTTTAGTGGTATTGAGCATTGTTTGCGTTTAATGAAATTGAGCAATATTAGTGATTAATGACAATGAGGAATATTTGTGTTTAATGACTAGTGAATATTTGTGTTCAGTGATATTGAGGAATATTTCTACTAAGTGAGATTGAGGAAAGTTTAACTCGAAGTTATGTTTAGCAGTTAATGCATGAAACCAATGATAATTGATAATCACTTGATTATGTGAATTCAATTATTATGAAACTGAAACCACCAGTGCTATGTATTATGTGATTTATGATTTATTAAATTACAGCTCTGATTGTGGTAAAGTGAAGCAAGCCTATTATGTAGGCCAGGTCATTGCTCAGCGATGTCTTGAGGCTGGCATTACACAAGTGCACTTTGATCCTCTCCAGGGAACCATTTTTCCAAAGGTTTGTAGGTTTTTATACCTAAAGAAGTTTTGTCATAAAACATACCTATACATACATCTCTACATAATTCTGAGTATACAGATATCCAATAAGTAATTTACTTATTGTGTATTTGTTTAAATGGAGTAATATATTAACTTGAATATATAGTATAGTATGATAGTTTGAATTCATGCACTAGTGACAAATTCACAATAACTTTGGCTCCTAAGTGTATTTGTAAACAAAATACATGTGAGTTGATAGGTTATGGAAATTTTAACCAATGAATGGGTAATGATAGCAAGATCACAAGCAGCCTTAAACGTCACATGACTAAATCTAGGTGGCAAATTGAAGCTTCTTATACCCTGTGTTCCCCTTAGAGCCAATTTCTCCACAAATAAAAAGGAAGTTAGCATCATATCAAGCACCATTCTGATCCTCACCTCATGTCAGCAAAGTTTTGTTACAAATATACCTTACAATGATTAATTACATGTCAGTCCAGGACAAATAACACATATCATTTAGCCTGTTACTTTTGAAGGAATTATATTTTCACTATTTTGCAATACAATGTGATCGCAAAAATTTAATCCATAAAATAATGCGACACAGGTGTACCAAATGTCCTTTTACATGTTGTGAAATTTTCATTCATTAAATTATAATTTGATTGAAAGAAAATCACGAAAATCTTGACTCGTGACAATTACCAGCTATATGGTACTTTTCTACATTGTCCAATTAAAATTGGGAAATTTAATCCTGCAATATATAGGGAATGTTTCATTATTTTTTTCTTGTGGTTAAAAATATTTTAACATTAGATAAGTTACTGATAATATCAGCATCCCACAACTACTGAAATCTGTTATCAATGAAATAAAATAGACTCACATTATTCACCCTTACAACCTTCAACACTTGCAAGATGTTTGTCTGTTTTTTTATTAGGTCATCTGACCCGAAGGGTCCGATGACCTATAGTCATCATGCTTCGTCCGTCGTCGTCCGCCGTGCGTAAACTTTTCATTCAAACGACTTCTTCTCAAATACTAGAAGGTCTAGGGGGCTAATACTTGGCACAAAGGATACTGGCATGGAGCTCTACCAAGTTTGCTCAAATGAATGACCTTGACCCACTTTAAAGGTCACAGGGGTCAAATATGTTAAAATCTTTAAACAACTTCTTCTCAATAAGCAAAAGTCTATGAGTGCCGATATTGGGTCTGTAGCATGCTGGGATGAAGGGCTATCAAGTTTGTTTTAATGAATGACCTTGAACAACTTTCAAGGTCACAGGGGTCAAATATGTCAAAATCTTTAAATAACTTCTTCTCAAATACTAGAAGGCCTAGGGGGCTAATACTTGGCTAGCTGCTCATGGAGCCCTATTTGTTCAAATGAATGACCTTGGCCCACTTTCAAGGTCACAGGGGTCAAATATGTTAAAATATACAAAGGACTTCATCACAATAAGCAAAAGTCTATGAGTGCCGATATTGGGTCTGTAGCATGCTGGGAGGAAAGGCTACCAAGTTTATTTAAATGAATGACCTTGAAAACTTTCATATGAAGGCCTGTAATACTTGGCCCATAGCATGCTGGCAGTTTGTTCAAATGAATGACCTTGGCCCACTTTCAAGGTCACAGGGGTCAAATATGTTAAAATATACGACTTCATCTCAATAAGCAAAAGTCTATGAGTGCTGATATTGGGTCTGTAGCATGCTGGAGGAAAGGCTACCAAGTTTATTCAAATGAATGACCTCAACCCACTTTCAAGGTCACAGGGGTCAAATATGAAAATATACAAACGACTTCTTCTCAACAAGCAAAAGTCCATTGCTGATATTGGGCCTGTAAGATGCTTGGAGGAGAGGCTACCAAGTTTGTTCAAATGAATGACCTCAACCCACTTTCTAGGTTTGGCTTGCTTTTTGTCAGATGACCGTTAAGGCCCATGGGCCTCTTGTTTCTATAATTGTTAAACTTTTTACTCCTATCCTACCACAAAATATCTATCCAATATTCAGTCAATTTATTTTCTTCTTTAAAAACCATGCTAGTAACAGTCTTCTACTTCACATAACCTACTTGACACAAAAGCAAGACAGAAGAGGAAACATATGATGTAGATTAAGGGACAGATTTTATTATTGTTATGATTATATTTTTCAGTATGAGGCATTTCTGGCGGGTGTGGAATCAATGAATTTGGAATTAACAGAGCCTGATGTGATCACACCAACTTACTGCCCAGGCATAGACTACAGTAAACCAAACAGATACGCGGAGCGCAAGAAATACAGGGATGATCATCAGATGGCCTGACATTTCTCCACTCATTAAATACTTGTGTACAATAAAATGTCGAAATCATTCATTTTAAGTGTTGTTTTAGAAAGTGGGATTTACTGTTCTCATACCCTGGTGTAGGCAAATGTCATGTTAGATTATAGGACAAGTTAAAAGTCATTTCAATGTGACGTGTTCATTAGAGTAAGACTATTATTATCTTATAACTCATATTTATTACAAATTAAGAAAAACCTTCTGTACCTCCGAAGCAAAGCAGACATTAAATTAAGTTCAAATGCCTCAGGGGGGGGGGGGGGGGGGGGGATTTTTTTTTATTGCAAAGCCTAATGACAAAAAATAATTGAGTAAATTAGACATTAGGACGAACCTGAACAGATGAATTTAAGGCAATAACATGTTCCACAAAAAATCAGTTATTTATGCTCCTCAAAATGTTGTTACAACTGGAATGTACAAACATATATACTGTATTCATCACAAATAAGCCCCCTCTTCTACTGAAAAAAAGATTGGCAAAAAGTTGGAAGTACACAGATGCAAAGCTATTGTAAAATTTGATATTTTCTTGGAGCTCAGCTTTCGTGGTATTTAAAGTGTTCACCATTTTGATTTGACATTGAACTTTTACAATGACTTTTGAAGTTGTTCATGTTGATGACAATAATCAGAAAACAGAATGAAGATTAAAGTTAATAGACCCATAGACTGTAACTCGGTGAAAATAAGACTGGCCTTCACTAATTTGTATATCGCCATTGGTAACCAATTTTATATTGTTTGATGTCAGCTATGGTCATTTAAAGATAACCAGGAAATGAAAACTAAGCTTGTTGGTTTATTTGAATTATAAATTAAAGTAGAATATTTCCCATTGATTTATAAAGCATTGTGGTTTAGATGTTCTCATATCAAAACTGATGTGTGACATTTCTTTGATCACACAGTCCCCTTCATCAGACAATTAACCAATGAAGCATATGTGCACATAAATAACAGGATACAAGATAATCGACTACTGCAATAGTATATACTCCAACATTTTCTGTAACCAACCCAGAAAAAATTCTCTGAAATACCTTTTTTCATTTGTTTCAATATTCTAAGTGTTGCACATAATTTCAATTTAACAGTTAACACAGACTTCAGAAAAGTTCAAAATGAAAGTGACTGGCTTTAGCTAGAGAGTCAAATCTCCCTACATCCATACACTTACTTTCTATCAGAAGTGATGAATCAGGTTATATATTATACCACCTTTCCCAATGTTTATCTACTTCATACAGACCTAGAAATGGTTCACAACACACTGCCATTCTACATTATCTTGTGACATTTCACTGGCACTACTGTCATTTAAAAGTAGTCCTGACTCTGAAATAACTTTTTCACCTTATTGTAACCTTGACCTTGAATCTAGGTCTCTGACAGTTTAATTAAAGGTCACTGCCAATGAAAATAAAAACTTCCTTTTTCATGCAAAACCAGTAGACAATTTCTAAAGAAAGTAATTGGTGTGTTGATACAGCTATCACCATTTTTATTTAGCCTCTGGGAAACCTTGAGATTTGACTCATCATATCAAGCAAAGTTCACAAATCACTAGTTTTCAGTTTCATTAAGTCAGAAGTTACATTGCAGAAAAGCATAACTGACGGTTGATCTAGACTTTTAACATCAATATGTCCTTGACCTTGGGTATACAGACTGGCTCTCAGCATTCTGCATTACATATATGTATGAAATTTCCCTGAAACTACATTCATTGAGCAAATAATTATGGCAATGACTACATTGAGCCTCATCTCATTATCACCTTCAGCTTGGACATTCACACTTGAAAATGACACATGGCACATTGACTTACCATCCAATTTATATAATACATATATATGATGGTAAGTGTTGACATTGTAACAATTAACAAAGGAAGACAATTAGACTCGTGCCCAATCCAGGCTTCGAACTCGGGATCTGCAACACCAAATCACTTAGTCAAAGAAATTCAAAACACTAACCACTGACACCACAATTACATCCTTGAAGTCTGGAAGTTGTTCTAATAGACAACAGGAATTTTCTCAACATGATCCTTGTGGCAAATTGTCTAATTAGGGGATATGAACACCTGGATCGCAATGTACATACAACACACATCGAGCTCAGGTACAATTACAACAGGTAATTCAAATCTGGAAGTTCAGATCAACAACATTACTGTATATGATGCTTTGTGTTAATGTATTGATATTTTGGATATTGTCACTCAGTTAATGAAGAAAAACAAGTTCCATGTATATATATTTTTTATATATAAACACATATACAATGTATATATATGCATGTAATTTCATTTCTCTAACATAAAGCATCCTGTACTGAGGAATGGAAGGACATAGCAACAATATAGTCCTTTAAAAATAATTGAGTTAAACATGAAATAGACTTAATGCTAATAGAAACCCTACTATCCCCTGTGGTTTGATATCCCTTATCACTCAACCCCACTGCAGTCAAAATATTCTTTTTTGTTACCCTTACCCTTTAAGCCTTGACATGGCATTGTCATTCTTTTAATTTGGTAATCTCTTCTCAACGCAATGGAGAGCTAACAGAATCTGTGAAATTATTACCCTTGTGACCTGGAATAAAGGTCAAGTTCTTTTTCATTTGCTAACTGTGTTGTGTTTCATCCGAAGGAATCTACCACCTAAATATGATTCAATGCCTTTTAGTCCATAAGAAGATGTCATTTGAATTTTGAATTTTTAAACTTATATGACCCCTGTGACCTTGAATATAGGTGAAGGTCTTTCTCTCTTATTAATATTTTTTTAAACATGTTTTGGGCTTCATCCCAGGAATCTTCAAACCTGATTTTGGTTTTTGAGAAGTCGTTTAAAGGTTTGAACAGATTTGACCCAGGAACTGGAATAAAGTCAAGGTCATTTATTTTTCCAAACTATCAGGCTTCATCAAAGGAACCTCTCGGCCAAAATAATGACTCATGGTCGCCTAATGAATAATGGACGTTGCAACACATCCATGGCATACCAGAAGAATATTGTTAAATTATTAGCATGACATCACAAATTCAGTAGTATTAATATAATGAAAACATAACTCAATAAGTCTTTCAATTGCTGTTTTATTACAATAAGACTAGTGTGTTGTCTCATAATCACTCCCTATTCCTCAACACTTTCATTTAAAATCTACTGACAACTTTGATTTGAAATCTGTGTATTTACAGTAAATTAAGGTCATATCATAGTTATAACATCTAAATCAACACATACTGTTGATTTTTTTTTTTTTTTTGATTATGTGGGGCTCATATTTCAATGTTTCAATTTGGGCTCATTATACGGTAATAAATTTTATGCCTGTATAACATCATTTTCTGAGATTTGGAATCATGGTAAAAATGATTGCTGCATACTTAATTTCCTGCAATCTTTATTGATGGTGAATATACTGAAATTCCCAGTGCGTAGTCCCAGTGCGTATTACTAGCTATACAGTATCACAATTTTTTTTTTTTTTAACATCTCTACAAATGTAACCATGACACAGCACTTGATCAGGTGGTGTACATGGAGAGGTCATTATAAGACAAGGTCATGGGTGACTGAAGGCTCAACTCCTGCTCCAAGGCATCCATATCTATATTAAGGTCACTGGTAACCTCCATCCAGTCAGTCAGCAGGGAGGATGACAATGGTGAGGGTTCAGGGCGGGCACTGAAAATACAATTCAGAATAAGCTATAGATAGAGTAAGTTCAAATAAAATATCATTGTTCAATCATTTTACAAATTAACATTTTAGTTTAAGTTTTATCAATGTCCTGCTTTTTGGTAAATTGAAAATGTATTCATTTGTACTACCACTGTTCTCAATAAAATAAAATATGAAATATTTACTTTGAAAATCTAGGAACTTTTGGGGTAGAAAGAACAGCACAATGTCTTCTTTATTGACACAATGACTCACCCGATTTCTTGGGCATCAACCATGAGGGCATCCAGATCCATTCCAACACCATATCCAGCTCCTGTACCACGTGGGGTCAGGGCTAAGGCAGGTGGACAAGGGTCATCAACCTGTGACCTTGAGAACTGTCGGGACAGAGAGGCAATTAGACCTGGCGGAGAGTTAGCATTGAATACAAGATGATTGGTCAGCGACTGACCAGGATGCATAGAGGAACCAGAGGTGAAATAAGGCTGATTAGGCTGAGTAGGCTGACTCTGTGCAGTGGCATCTTGTTTGAAAGGTATTTGGGAGCTACCAGCAAAGTAGTGTCCATGAGCAAATGGCATCTGATTTATGTGTCCACTCAAATCCTGAACTGTGTTCATTGACAATATGGCATCCGACAGACCAGGGTTGCTAGACTGGCTATCTGCATTGCTGAGCTGATCATCACTTGGCCTGCGACCAAACTCATCAAAGGTTGACTGAGGAGAATTCTGCTGTTGGAACAACGACTGTGGAGATTGCTGTTGGTCAAATGTTGATGGAGGAGACCTCTGCTGAAACACAGAATCGTGTGCCCCCTGCTGGAAGCCCTGTTGTGGTGACCTTTGTTGAAGGTCAGGACTGGGTTCAGAGTATGACCCCAAATGTTTGTTACTCTGATCTTGTGTTTCTCCTTGATAATACTCTGGTGAACCATGTGACTGATAACTCTCAGGAGAACTATGATTGCTGTACTCTTTGTGAGGAGAAGCTGGGGACCCATGAGAAACAGGTCCTCGAACTTGTGAGAAGGCCTGATTTTGATTTTCATCTTGGAGGAGAGATGTGGCTGTGGCACTTGGTGCATTCTCCCCTCCAGAGGTACTAAATGACAGACTTTGCTGAGGTGTATTGAAGAAATGGCCATGCTGAAGATTTGTGTTTGCTGTTTGGGAATTAATTATTCCAAGCATTTTTAAGTTCTCAAAACTAATAGTTGAAAGGTCATTATTTATATTATTTCCCTCAGATTTATGAACACCACCTTCCATTATGTCTTGCTGCTGAACAAGATTACCCATAATGCCTTGGCCACTGTGGCTTCCTGCAATCAGTGAAAGTTGTTGAGTATATGACATGTTATTTTGTTTGTTGGATGATACATCCCCATGAGAATTTCCCACTTTTGTACTGATTATATTTTGAGCAGCTTGTAGACCAGACATAGTTGTATTAACTGCTTGGCAATTCTTTTGTGAACTGTCCTGAGGGAAGTTGGCCGACTGTGTGATGCCTGGCTGATGCTGTCCAGAATGACCAGGTTGTGATATGTTACTTTCTGTTCTGTGAGATCCTTGATGTACAGTACCACTCGGATTGATCTGTGGCTGAGATGGATCAGAATCATATGCACGGGCTTCTGCAGCCTTTTTCTGATTGGCCAGGTACTGTTGGAGACACTGCTGGCCCAGTGTCTGACCTGTTTCGCCTATAGATATCATATTACAGTTTGCAGGCTGAGGTGTGGGGTTGGACTTGTTGTCAGGCTTGGGTGCAATAGGATGGTTAACTTTTTGCATCTTAGACCATCTGTTGAGAAGTTCTCTGTCAGCATCTGTTAGAAATCCTCCAGCATCAGTTGCAGCTGTTAAAAATAACAGTATAACAATACTATTTAGTTAAGTAGTTGATTAGAATTACCAACAAGTACTGTATGATGGTTCTGTAATACGCCCAACTCCAGACTTTATGTCAAAGGTTAGGTATTAGCTATGGTTATATATGGGGTATGTAATTTGTTTACCTATGCAATCTATAGATACTGTACTTATATTAGAACTGCTTATACAAAGTTTGTACTGATGATATTTATTTCAATCATACCTAGTAAAAGAATCTCTTAAAGTTTAAAATGCCTAAAAATGAATTCTGAAGGATCAATAGGTATTGTGACATCATAAAAACTTCAAAATGATCCCTTTTTCAGTGTAAAACCTTCCTTACCTCTACTTCTGTTACATAACTGAACTATATATATCTATGTTGCTTTTTTATACCAGACTTTCATCACAGTCACCAAATGTGCATACACTTTAACATCGAGATTTCATTATTCTACCTTTCTGCTCTTTTTTCTTTTTTGTCCTCTCTAAAGCCTTTTCCTTCTTCTTCCTTCTTTTTTCTTCTCTCTCCTTCTGTCTTTGAGCTGCAGTGATAGGTTTTGGTCTGTCATCTCCATCTGCTGCAGATTCTAAAAAATCATTGGATGATAATAGCAGATTTCATTATTAGATAATGCACAAGAATCAATGTTACAAAATCTTATTACCTTTCAGATGAATTAAAGAAATACAGCCAACCAGTTTTACAGTAAATACAACGCTGCCAATCATGATTTCAAGCTTAATTTTACATTTTTATTCATAGGTTTTTCCCCTTACATATTTATTTTATCACTTATGATGAGATCATTTCAATATCTTGCTACTTATTCTGGTCTTACAATATCTCACTTGTGTACAAAAAAAAAATACAATTTATATTCTAAAACATTACAGTGGACTGTCTATTCTTTATTTTTTGTCCATTTTTACACCTGATGCTGTATGTTGTGTTACTGGGAGTCAGGTTGTACAGTGCACTATAAACATCAGCCTTTCATCGTCAATGTTGGCTTTTTTTAATGCCCAATTGGATATTGTAAAGGGCCATCTGCCATATCATATTAATTTCTAGGTACTTAAGCTTCTTCCTTAAGTAAAATTTCCTGAACAATGCCAGGCAGAGTGACCTTAAAGGTGTACAGCTAAATATTAACACTCGTGTTGCATTTCTAGAAGCTCACCAAACCCTATCTGCATTGTGCATTGAGATTAGGCTTGTGTAAAATTTCATTTAATATATGTGAATGTGAATATCTGTTCACATCTATAAATGTTACATAAACATGGGTTTTACATATAAATCAACAAGTAAGACATTAAGATATAATGTTGAACAATATATTTACAATTTACTCTTAAAACATCTTCTTGTTGGCATTGTTAATGTTGTTCACCTACTATTTCCCCAACACAAAAAGGCTGTTAATTTTTCTAAATATATATGATAATGCTGTAAATGTTTCTACCAGTGGTAACATCATACAAAAGCAATGTATACTGACCATGTCTTTGTTTCTTCAGACTAGAGTTGAGCAGTGCCGCCTTCACTAGGGCCTTGGTATCAGATGAAATGGTTTTATTTTCCTTCTTGATTTCCTGTTGAACCTCTTCCTTTATACGAGACACAGGAGCAGCTGACTGTGCTTCACCACCCTCTGACTTGGCACTCGGCATTTCTACATCATTTGTGGGTATCTTCATACTATCCTTATCAAGAGTAACTCTTTCTTCACTGTTTTTGATTGTCAGTTGCTTAAATTCCTCTTTTAACTGAATCTGGGGAACAACTTGTAATCCATCTAATACAGGCTTTTGATCTATTGAACTTTGCGATGTAGAACTCTCCTGTTTTGGAGGTGTTGATATAGTACATGTAGATTCCCGAGGAACTGGCTTGAGACAGGCACTAAATTTCATAACTGAGCTTTTTGGTTCATGATAATCCATGATCTCTTTGTAAATGATATTCCGAAGTTTAGTCGTTGTCATTTCCTGAAAAAGAAACAGAAGAATTCTCAATACCTATCTTTGAATTATTGTGGGTTTTACAGTTACCACCACATTCTGAATCCAATTAAATCAGATTGATAAATAAGAAGTTATTCATAATCTGAGCACCAGAATAACACCATTTGTTTTCTGTAAACATCTGACATAATATTAACTGTTCATATGTTCATAATCTACTCGTCTGACACTGTGTTCAGTTTACTCTTCATAATCTACCAAACTGACACTGTGTTCTGTTTACTGTTCATAATCTACAAGTCTAACACTATATTTAGCTTACTGTTTATAATCTAACGGCTACTTGATGAGTGGATAAACTTTACTATAGTGCTGTTCCCAGAAAAATTATAAATTAATGGTATTTCACTGACTTCTAAACAGCCTTTCTCCTGACTTTGAGTAAGACGTAATATGATTAATATGTTGGTATTCTCAGTTTACAGCAGGATAAAGATCATCAGCAGTGTACATATACCTGTCTATAAAGAACATGCTCCATATATGGTGTAACTGCAACACTCAGTATATTATAACCATTTTTTTAAAACAGTCCTTGATAAGAGGTAATAAATAGACAGTCAATAATATTTGTTCATTAATGTGAAACTACATCACATACTTCATTCTCAAAATCAAAGTTAAACGTTGGCAGACATATTGGTTCATCATCTGGATCGTGATATTTGTTGAGATAAGGATGGTTGAGAGCATTATCTACTGAGATCCTGTCACCAGGGTGCAGCACCAACATCTTCCCCAACAGGTCCAGAGCTTTCTTACTGGCCTTGGGAAACAGAGAATTCCAAGCAATGGATTCTTTCTTCCCAAGTTCTGGAAGACATCAGTAAGATAAGAATACATGATTAATGTTAAAAAACACAATACAAAGCCAAAAAATTTTCACTATATTTCAAATTACTCAATGCACCATATAAACTGTGCTAAGTTTGACATACATTCCTGGTATATAAGCTAATTTTGTTATCTGTTTTTTCAGTGACTCTTCTGTGTCTTGACAAGAAAACTGCAGCCAAATTATCTTTTAAGTGTAAGGTACATGTATATAAAATGTTTAAATTTAAAACTTTTCAAGAATACACTATAGACATAAGATATAGACGGATAAAAACTGTATATAATAAAAGTAGCCAAACATGTTCACTAATACTCAAGACTCCAGGAAAACCCATCAGCTGGCAGGTCTTTACTGGAATTTATAAACAATACCTTTGTTGAACTGATATCTTACTTGTAATAAACTGCTTGATGAGATCCGATTGACACAACTGAAAAAGTCCATCAGACGGGGAACCAAGTATTCCTACGATCAATTTAATCTGGCTTATGTAATCTTTCCCTGTAAGAAAAAAACACAAATTGAAAAGCAGTCAACAAAGATTAAGCCATATCTTTCTACTGAAAAAATTATTCTTAAACCTAGAAATATGAAAAATATTATTTGACATACTGATAATAATTCAAATAAATTCTTGAATCATTTAATGAACAACAGCCCCTTGAAATTTGTGATCCAGAACTGCTAAAAAAAAAACTTAATGAAAAAAATTTAACACTTCCAGTTGGGATGCTGCAAATGGCCAGATTGACTTTTCTTTGAATAGGCGAGCTTATAATGATTGTAAACAACCAGGTTCATGTATTCCAGTATCTTTTTATTGTGTGAAATATTTCCTATGTATGCAGCAATTTTATTTTATATTTGAATTTAAATTTTCTTTCAATAACTGAAGAGGAAAAAGATTTCTGTGTGCAATAAATCTTGTGTAGACTGAGCACACAGGAGTAAAATAATAATAATAAAAAAAAAACAAGCGAGAAAGAATTTGTATGTTTGTTTTGCTCAATATAAGTGAAATAATATGAAATAATATATCCTTGTATCAACAGAATTTCTTTTGCTTATCTTTAAAGATATCACAACTTGCACACCTGGAAAGAGATGTTTGCGTCCAAGCATTTCTGCAAAGATACATCCAACAGACCACACATCCACAGCTGCGCCATACTCTACCAATGCCAGCATGATCTCGGGAGCACGGTACCAGCGTGTTGCCACGTACTGTGTCATGAAGTGGTTAGGTTCTTCTGGTGATGCTGACACTCCTCGTGCCATACCTAAAGAAAGTAGAAATGGTGGAGATGTGTACAGGGAAAAATTGACAATGAATCAAACATCTTATAAACCTATCTTATTGGACTCAATCTGGACAAAGAATAATATAATGCATCCCCTCGCTGTTTCAAATTTACTGCTGTACAATACTGGTATATAATGGTCTAGCGTGTGATGTATAATTAGAATCCCTCAAAGAATGAATCCTCTTCTGAGGAAGATTTTAAAAAAAAATAGTAATGGTGACCTTGACCTTGATTCTACAACACTGAAACTCACACTTACCAGAGATACTGAATTCCTTTTATAAGTTTAATCATTTCCCTAAAGGAATAAAACTAGTGTATACCCACACATAGTGCTGAAAAATTTGGGCATTAAGTATAATACATGTATATTATAATCTTACCTACTTCTATACACCAGGGGATAATAAGAGAAATGATACGTAGTCTTCATTACTTGCTTTATTATTACAAAGCAAACACTTCACAACTATAACAAGAGGCCTACAGGGCCTGTATCGCTCACCTGACAAAATTTATTTGTTTTCACCAATGAATGCTTCAGACCAAATTTGGTCAAAATCCAATCATTCCTATAGGAGGAGTAGGATCTTAAAGAATTTGTTCTTTTACCCATATTGGGCCCAACCCAAGAGGGCAGAGATCTGTTGTTTATGTATCGCTCACCTGGCAAAATTGTTTTCTCTTCATCCAACAATACTTTCCACCAAATTTGGGGAAAATCCAAATATTCCTTCAGGGGGAGTCGTATTTTAACTAATTTGCTCTATTTCCTATATTTGGTCCTGTTCTTCCTTCCCCAAGAGGTTTAGCCCCACCATTTATACCAAACTGATTCCTCTTCACCTAAGAATGCTTCGGACCAAATTTGGGCAAAAATTCAATCATGCCTACAGGAAGATAGGATTTTAAAAAAATTCCCTGTTTGGGCCCCACCCCTTCCGCCCCTTGGGGCCAAGACCCTTCATTTATACAAAACACATTCTTCCATTTGGCAAGGATGCCTCTGACCAAATTTGGTCAAAATCATGTATGTCATTTACATAACAAGTAGCAATTTTTAGAGGAAGAAAAGTTGACAGACAGATGGATGCCATGGTATGCCATTAGCTCACTTTGCCTTTAGGGCAGGAGAGCAAAAGATAGGACTATGTGATAACAATGATTAAAAGTAATGAACATTAAATGATTCTATGCTTCAAAAGACCAACAGAAGACCTGGAGAAAGTTATTAGTATTTGCAATGAACTATATATATAAATTACGTATTATATTTGTGACTAAAAACTTTACCAAAATCTCCTATCTTTAGCTGGCAATCTTCATTGACAAGAAGATTACTTGGCTTCAGATCTCTGTGGATAACATTTGCAGAGTGAATATACTTGAGTCCCCTTAGTAACTGGTAGAGGAAATATCTCACATGTTCCTCTGAAAGATCCTGTTTGGAATAGATAATTTTGTGAAGGTCACTTTCCATCAAATCAAACACAACATAAATGTCTCGAAACTCAGCCATTGATTCCTTAGGCTTGATAATATCCCTGATAGAAATGATATTATCATGTTTAAAATGTTTCAAAATTTTTATTTCCCTGTATGTTGTTGTTCCTATTTTACAGTAGTCAAATATTCTGGGGATTTTCTTTATAGCCACACGATCTTGAGTCTTTCTGTGAATAGCTGAACACACCACACCATAGGCTCCAATACCAATATTCTCCACAGCCTGATAGTCTGTATCAGTCAGATCAAATTTCACATCAAGAGATTTCTTCTGCACAATTGCGAGCTTTTTCATGAGATTTTCATGATCATTTGGACGAAGCGACGCCATGTTTACAGCTCTGTCAAACAAATTTCAACAGCTGAAATTCCTCTTAATTTTTCAAAGCATTGTCAAAAGTATCCTGCAACAATTTGTTTTCCTTTCTTCTGATTCTGAAATGGAGATATCAGAAATCAATATCATAATGGATTGAAATTAATAATATATGTATAGGCAATATTTCTTACCTAATTTAATTACTATATACATGTGTATATGACAACTAATAAAACTTACAGTATTTCTCAACACTTAAATATCAGAATCCATTGGATTCTGGTAACTTAGTAATGAACCTTTCTCACATGATCTTTTTCTTCTCTATTTTTGCCAATAATGCAGAATAACACCTCTCTATCTCAATGTTGTTCAATAAAACTGTTGAGGAAAGCATTGCTACATGTCTTTACCTGTCATTGGGTCAAACTCAGACATTAACAGTTTGCATTGCAAGTCATTCACAAACAGGAAATTGTTTCCAATTATGTTAGTACTTAAGCATTAAATACAATCTCATGTACTGCAATCAATTCAATTTACCAATTAAACACATTATTTAAATGAAGTCTTAGGTTTGATTTTATTTTCAACAACTTGATCTTAATCTTTGATTGTCAAATCCAAGATAGCAGCCTATCAGCAATTTTGTTTTTCTGAACAGTCCCAAATTCAAAATGGCACAACTTAATGGATCAAGGGGATCTTGGGTCTAAATAGACAGATTTTATTGTCAAAATCCAAGATTGACACCTGTTAGCCTTTTTGCTTTCCAGACCAAGCCCAAACTATACAGTGCAACTTGGGACAAAGGTGAGTCTACATATGAAGTTTATAAAATTTAAGAAAGAACCATCCCCTCCTTGTCAAAATCAAGAATGACTGCCTGCCAGCCATTTTGTTTTTCTGATCAATCCTTAAATCAAAAAGGCACAATCAGAGACCAAGGGACCCCTGCAGATGAAATTTGAGAAATATCTATCCTGTATTTTTCAAGAAAAAGTGATAACAAACTTTCTTTGTCAAGCATTGTTAAAGCATATAAAATGGATGAAAAAAAAATCCAACATACAGCAAGTGCAGAGCAATTTGATATCTCCATCTATCTGACGATGTAGAGTTTAAAAAAAGAACCAACATTTTACCCAAGAGATTGTTAAATTTACTGTAATTAACTGAAGGCTCAAGTCTAAAACTGGGTACTTGACACATGATCATCACCACAAATTAGAGGTATCCAGTTCTAGACTATTTAGAAAAATTTTGTAAAAATTATATTTGATGATGTTGATTTTTCAGAGAATATCACAATTTTCTTGTACATAATTTTCAAGATATCAGCGTTTGAATATGAGGATGCCCGATGTTATCTTTTGTATTACTATGGAATGTATGCTTATATTGACAATATCTGAAAAAATATGAGAAAATATAAAAAGTTGATACTTGATAGGTGTGCACATTTGGACTTAGGCAACTATATCAGCCAATGAGCAACTGGGATTTTGTTTCATCTACTTAGAATCCCTATCTAAATTGAGATTTGGCAAAAAGATTGGCTGTTTGAATTTATAACTTATGATATATGAAAGAAACGTGCATTTATTTGGCTTTATGAAAATGTACAGTTTTAACACATTTCAATGTACATGTATGTTAAAAAATTAATATAGTAAGGCAAGTTCTTTACTCAGATTTTGACCAATCTCTTCTGGCACTACTAAGCAGAGATAATGTCTGTTTTGGTCTGGTAGTGGCAGAATGGCCCCAGATTTTAGTTTTGGTAACCTTCTGAAAAACCACTAGTCTCATTTTTCATGAAACTATATTAAAAATCATGTAAAAATCTATCACTCAATGACAGAAAAGGGATGATTTTTATAAAGGCTTGTGTTCTCTGTTTTAACAATGTATATTTAGCATGCAATTAACCTGTGGTGCCATGCAATACCACCATGCCATTAATATTATCAGATACTCGTAGGTGCATAGCTAAGACACTACAGTGCACAACAGTGCAACTTCTCCGAACTGATCCTTCTCAAAACTAATCACCTCTTGAAACCAAATGAAATGGCCTTGCACAGAATGACATTCTCTTTATAGTAATAAAACCCTTCCCAATACCAATCACTCTCAATTCTGATCCAATTTTGTGTCCGAAATGATAGTAATATACCAAAAATCACCTCTGAAAGTGTTTTTTTCACTCTATAAAGGTGGTTTTTTCCTCATTCATTTGGACATGTGCAGTGGAAATGCTAAAAGAGAATGGAACAAGTAATGTAATGTACAGAATGGCATTGGTTCAATCAGACCAGCTGATTTGCTTCACTTCTACAAACTGAACCCTCCCTAAACCGGCCAAATATTCATGTTCCATGCATGGTCGGTTTGGAGGAGTTCTATTTAATATATTTAGACATTATAAATAAATCACATCTACATGATGTTACAACGTGATAATTTATGATTTATGGGCATTTCAACAGCATTGTCCAATTGCCAACTTATGTGGCAGAACTTTGGAGTGCCTTGTGCATGTACCAAAGTTTTAAAAGCAATGTCAAGTACATGTTGTAGGGTTAGCAGTGACAGGGCGACTACCCTGGATCTGTTGTAACATCTACCCCTACTGCATACTGTACAACTGTCAATTTTCTTATCATCAAAATAATCAGTTCACGTCAAAAATATAATATTTAGAAATGAATTTGTCGGTTAAAATCTTTCACAGGTATAGTCCGAAGGATTCTGACAAAACAAAATCGCAGATAGATAGCCAAAGGCCGTCGGACTAACGCATGTGTTGATATATTGCCTACTCCGTGAAGTGTCAAATAAAATCATTTATGACTTCCACGGAAAAATAAACACTGCACCAGAGAAACAAAACCCCAAAGCACGACTAAGGCATGACCTCATTATCACAGTGAAATTGAAAAACAATGTGTAAAACAGCGAAATTGTAGGAGTTCAGTTTCTGTCAACATTTCCAGCGAAGTGCCGAAACATCTAGGTAAATTCCGGTTGCCGAAACGTCTGTCTAATATGTCGCCATTAGCATGGTCGAATGAATTGACATTACCTTCAAGAGATATGTGCTTAATTCCACATGAGAGCACTATATTTTATTTCATAATACATACGTTCATAGGTTGTGCGTGGTGTTTCCTTGGTGGACACCGCAGAAGATCTTCTTACATGTCATCTCCAGTTCCCTGTTACTATTTTTATATCTAGACTCATTTCACAGAAGATGGACGAAAGGGGAAATAACTGTGATATTTTCGATGGCGGGAAATTCAAATTACACCATGAATAACAGGTCCCCGTAAGCCAAAGATTTTGTGTATAATGTAGCATTAAATTTAGTTTTGCTTTTGAAAGTGAGAACAATGGATGCTTAACCTAACTTGTCCTGCTTTAATTTCAGTTTCAAACAAGCATGATGGTACATTTCGTCTCGGTTTGAATCAAGTCAACATTTTTTTTCTGTCTATAATTTGGTTATGTTCTGGCCCTCTGGGAAGAGGGTCCTCAGAAAATTCCATATGCATAATAATATGTGCAGTCCCTAAAGGCATCACATTTTCTTATCTAGAACCTCAAGTCTCACTTTGCTGTATACATCACATTTACTTTTCGGGCCTGTATTGCTCTCCTGTTCTATAGCTCTTGATTGGTTTATTGTTGCTTTACAGCCTATTAACAGCCCAGGTCATTTAAAGATGTGCCAGGTTTAGTTGAAGGAGTGCCCTGAGAAAAACCACCAACCTTCGGCCAGTACTTGGCAACCTTCAAGCCTGAAATGGAGGGCTAGTGTTGAAGACTCTCAGAGGCCTTAACACTTGGCCACCGCAGCCCCTTTATAGCTCATGATGAGATTAGTTTGTTAAAAGCCTATATTCAGGAAATTTACATGCTTATCCATATACTCAATTTTGTTTTTCTAGTAAGTTCCAGAACAAGGCATATAACAAACAATGTAAATCCCTTCACACGCCAAGTATTCCTGTCTTAAATAAATAATTATCCTGCAATATGCAAAGAAAGCCATTGCACTCTGAAACAAAACGGGAGTTTATAGAATAAAAATGATATAATAATAGTTGTTATCACTGAACTGCAATATGTACGGGAGGAGTTATGCCAGATAAATATAGGTATATCTTGTTATGCCTCCAAAAGTGACCTTGGTAACCTGATACACGTACATCAACTTGTTCAAGGTGTTCTTTCTTGACAAATGATAAAAATCTGTCCAAAAATGAAGTCGCGACTGCAATGATAAAAACATTCTATGAATAGTCGAAACCTTTACTTAGACACACTGAAACACAAACCCCTTCAAGGTATTCTTGTTCTACACCAGTAAGTGAAGTTTGATCCATTCAAAGCTGTTACAGCATTGATAAAGATTTTTTACAAATACTGATGGTGACCTTGACATCGGCACCTTAAACAAGTGGATACAAAAGTTGAAATGGTAATATCCAGGCAATATGTCTAAAGGAAAAACAGAGCTATATGTTTTAATGATAAAGAGATTGGGGAAAACCAAGGACAAGATTAAAAAAAATCAAAAGGACAAAGTGCAATAATTTTTCTAATATGGTCCAATCAAAATGCTGTTCAGGGGAAAACAATTTCATGCTGTGGTTTTAAAGTCAAAGAAATCTGTTAAAACAGAGGGAGGAGATATGTGGACAAAGTAAGTTTGAAAATTGTAAAATCATAACGCTATTAAGGAAGATACATTTGATGGCCACCTGTCAGCCATTTGTTTTTCGGATTATTCCCAAAATCAAACGGACAGAACTAGGAACCAACAGAACCTACAACTGAAGCTTGAGAAAGATCCATCCAATACTTCTCAAGGCTATAAAGGATAATAAAAGTTGGTGAAAGACGGAGGCAATACCGGAATATGTGGCCTCTAAGTAGGGATCTTTTTGTTGATATGATTTTCAAAATCACAACACACTGCATGTAGTCTTCCCCTTACTGATATCATTTATACTTTACAGAAAGAAAAAAAGAACAGGATAATTGTGATCTTTTTTATTTGACTTTTGTTTATGTACAACTATCATCACATACAATTTTTTTGTTAAAAAGTTTCCAATTAGATAGGAATGAAATCTTGATATCAATGTCTTTCTCATCATTATACATGTGTCAATCTCTTTCTCATCATCATATGTGTCAATCTCTTTCTCATCATCACTCATATGTCAATTTCTTTCTCATCATCACTCATGTGTCAATTTCTTTCTCATCATCACTCATGTGTCAATCTCTTTCTCATCATCACACATGTGTCAATCTCTTTCTCATCATCACTCATGGGTCAATCTCTTTCTCATTGTTATACATATGTTGAATCTCTTTCTCCTCATTATACTTGCATCAATTTGTTTCTCATTGTTTGTGTTTGATTATCATTCAAAATGAAATACACAAATCATGCTCCTACAACCATCTTTAGCGTGTATAGAGAACCTGTAATCTGCCGATACAGGAAAAAGTTATCTATGTATCAGAGTATTCTAAAATATTGAAAAGACGATTTACAGATATTGTTTTAGAAACACAATGGAATTAGCTTAATTTTCTTAATAAACCATGACATATTGCACATTTTTCTTTACAAAATTGGCAAACACTTATTTTCAATACCATGCTAACACAATCATTCAGTTATATGGAGTGCCAGATCTTCCACCTCCTGGCTTACAATCAAACATTGATGCTTGCAGTCATCCTCACACACTCTGACTGATCCTCATACATTATCATCCAATCCCACACAATCAAGATCAATTCTGTCTATGATCATTCACCCTCCCACACTTATATAAAATCATAACTTCTGGCTGACATCCCTCGGTCTATAAATTATTCCTTTCCTCTTCAATTCCCGTACAACTCCTGGTGGGAGGCGTCCTGTCACAGACAAGGCATAGCAGCCCTTCACAAACCGACCTACAAACAAAACTTCGGATTAATCATTACACTATACATACTAATATAGATACCATACTAAAAGTCTGAAAACCAATTTTGATTCGTTATGAAATATTGTGGACAGTGGTTAAATAATTATGGCCTTTATGATTATTGGGATTTTCATGAACACTACTTAAACAAAAGCCTAATCAGAACAAGAGGCCTATGGGCCTTAACGGTCATCTTACTACAAAAACTTTCAGCACGGAGAAAGGGTTATTTTTTCTACTTTGAATGAAATCTTACTAAGAAGCTGTATTCCATGATGCAAATGGTAGTTTCGGTCAGGAGTAGGGAAATGTAACAAGTGTTACCTATTTTTTGACTGTCAAGTTGGAGCTCAATCCAACTGGTAAAACTTGAGAAGAAATTTGAAATCGGTGTTGCGCAATCATGTTATAAAATGGACTCCCTGGCTGCCATATCGAAGTTTGAAAAACGTAGAAAAATACAACACTTTGTTGGCTACCTTTCCTTAACATTCCCACCAATTTTAAGCTCCATGACACAAGCAAAATTTGAGAAGTTTAAAATACGTTTTTCAAGATGGTGGCGATCTTGGATTTCAGATATATCCGAAATATAAAAACACTTGGTCAGGACTATCTCATGCAAGTTTGAGCTAAATCCCACGGGTAGAACTTGAGAAGAAGTTTGAAATGTCAAAAGTTTACGTACCGAAATATAAAAACACTTGGTCAGGACTATCTCATGCAAGTTTGAGCTAAATCCCACGGGTAGAACTTGAGAAGAAGTTTGAAATGTCAAAAGTTTACGTACAGTGAACGATGATGTACGAAGAATGATGGCTATAGGTCACCATGACCCTTTGGGTCAGATGACGTAAAAATGCACTGTTGGACAGACTGACATAAAAAAAGGAAAATGATAGTTATGAAGAAAGAGAAAAGACTTTGTGATAATGTGATCTTTATTCTAATGTTACAAACTTATTTGTTCCCAACCAAGCTATAAATCTAGATAATGGTCAATTGAGGTTATCTGAATTACAGATACCATATTGGCATTAACTCAATCATAACCTTACAGATGCCCTATTTTAACTATGACCAGTTAATTCACCAAAAAAGATGACCTTGAACAGTTTTCAAATTTTCGTAACCATGGCAACAATCTGTGAAAAACTCATAAGGAAAGTAAACAGTTATAATATCAGTTAAGTATCATCAAAATTGGCTTATACTTATACTTCAATAATGGGAAAAGTTTCTATCAAAATGACATAACTCCATAAGAAAGGATGAAAATGATGTAAACAATGCTTTAATCTATTTTTCATTAAAGGGCATAGGAATGGGTCACAGTAAAAAAGTTATATCCAGATGTCGGGATAGAGTCATGATATTGGCTTAAGATTCTAAAAAGATTTATCCATACAATTCCCAGCAGACAGACTGACTGTTGGAAAATCACATTCATGTAAGACTGTGTTGTGGGGGTTATAGTAAGATTTACCTCTCTTTTCAAAAAAAATTCCTTCAGTCTTTTATGAATCATTTTAATTTCATTGTAGAGACAAATCGGGAATTATGGTACATATCAATACATACACAACATATAAGTATATTGAGGTTGTGATATCAGTAAGGGGACTTAAGTATACAACATACATATCAAAACTACTGTAAGTGTGGTGTTAATATGGGAATTGTGACATGTCTTTATCTTTGGTGTGTTTGTTTACAAATCAAGAAATTGTGATACACACCTATCCTCTGCCACTTGGCAACCCAGCTGTCTTCACCACTCATCATAGCAACCATACTGAAAGTAGTTACAGTCAATTACTAGTATATGAAACTCACCAAATGAAGAACATTCATGCAAAGCTAGTAAAAAATACTGTAACATCATTGACCATGAAACTTAAGAAAGATTTACTGCAGAACAGAATTTCAATTTACTTATGTAAAGTATCTAAAGTGAAATTTTGTGAGTGGCTTTCAGGTATTATATGGTTTATAATATCATTAAATTGTTTAATTATTTGTCAATAACTTGAAGAAAAGAAGATTTTCCTTAAGCCTGCTGATTATGGCCATTTGGGTTACATATGTCAACCGCAGTCTCTATACTTTTTTTAATTCACTGTGTCATATCAGTGTTATTGCTGGAATAACACTACCAAATAATGTTAGTAAATTAATAATGAACATTCAATATTTCCGATCAAACAACTATATATATATAAAACATTTACTTTTGTATTTTACCTAAGCCAGCTGTAACAAATTCCTTAGCAATGACTCACACAACAATAATCATGAACCTATCAGTCACCAAAGTGAAAAGGATAAACTCCTGTTAAGATGCTAACATGTGTTTATTATGATATCTACACCCTACATTATAGTTTGATGATTATGCAAAAGACACACAAGTGAATAATACCTTCTCATACAAACTTAGGGTAAGATACAGTAGAGCCAAAAAATGAATTAAACTGCATCATACAGCTGTTTTGTCCTTAAGGACTCGTCAGTGATGCTAAGGGCCTAGATTTTGAAAACTCAGAGGCACCTAAGGAAAATCCTCCTATGTTAAAATAATGTCAAACCTAGACCAGGAAGTACTTGTCCCATAATTCAATCAATATCCTGATTTTTATATATCTGATACTTTAAGAACAATGTCATGTACATGTGTATATTCTGAACTATGCCACTATTCAAATGAATGAAAATGTAGAATGCAGGTTATGGCAAAAAAGTTCACCAGCAATGTCTTACTCTACCACCTGCAATCTCAAAGATTTTACAAAACACACAATTAAATAGCACCTTTCATACAAATTTAGATATAGTTGAGCCAAACAATGAAAAATTCAACTAACAAAATCTCATACAAAATAGGATCCAAACATGATTTGTATAACTTACAGTCTACACCTATAAACAGATAATATCAGGCAGGTGGATAAAGTTATCGAACACCACTTAATCACAACCCCAATTGAAATCCAACAGTCAAGGAAAATGTAAAGGGAGGATATCATTGTTTAGACTCATTTTCAAACTCAACCAATATTGGCATTTTTGAGATGTGGAAATTCACAATGAAAACTTCTTTAACCAATGCTTTTTTCTTACTACCCTTATAACAGCCCCATTTCGAGCTAAAATACAAAGATTTACCAGACAGCCTCTACAAAATAAACAAAAGTTTATACACACCCATCAAAATTAGCACTGGTACAGTCATAGACTGCATCTCTGTTATTCTTCATATGTAAATGTTCCTCACAGTTGTCACAGCCATCCAGCTCAAACTGGTCGAAAGTCTGTGAAAAACAAAAATAACACTTATTAGAAGTTAGCCTAATTATATTATGAAAACTTCTGACGACTCTTTCAAAAATGTCCTTCAAACTGAAATTGTCCGAAAAAATGACTGGATACAACAACCGTAACAGTAATTGAAATTTATATACATTATTATATAATGAATACAGATTATGTCCCCCTGGAAGTTATATCCTAGTCAATGTCTGTTCCAATCTCCATCCCAGTTCGGCACCATCTTCTTAGTGTTCTGCTCCATGTGAAGACAGGCCTACATGATATAATAAAAACAATTTTTTTCCAGGCCTTGGAATATTATTTTAATCTAGCTACCTGGTATTAATTTGAGCTTTTTATTTGCTCATACACATACATTGTACTTTCAACTAATTTATGAATTTATTTTAGAATGTATCATTTGAAGGATGCTTTTAGGTAGTTGCTGGTCTTTATCTAAGTAGTGGTGAATACATATGGGCAATTCCATTGTGTCTGGCATCTTGTATCCAAAATCTAGTAGTGAGAACACTTTTAAAAAGCTACAAAAAATTTGCATTTAGTTCAGTTTCTGTATTTTTGGTAAGTGCTATTCAAATCCAACTTGTAATTGTGGACATTGCTTATTAGGTTATATTCAGATTTTCAGAAATTATTTTATGATAATATTGAGACAATATTAAAACCTGCATGTTAACCATGGACTTAGCAGTCTGTGATAGAATGGTCTAATACATATAAAATATATACCTTGTATTACTGTTTGCTGCTCATCTATGTAGTCACTTTCTTTGGAAATTATTGTATCTAAATCTTAATTATCATGTTCATCTTATGGACCAAAAGTCCAACGGAAATACAACTTCCATCTGTTATTCCAAATGAACTAACAAATTTATCAGCTAATTTGTGTCATGCTGTTTGAACAATTATTAACGCTAGCTTGCACACAATTGCACATAACGGATAGCTTAGCATGTTTGGTTGCTGTCAATCGACAAAGATTTTAGGTATATTAACAGGCTGCACGTGCATTGCACAATGTATCATTGTGAACATTGAAAAGTGTTCTCGAGACCTCCTCTCACCCGGCCAACTTCTGATACATGTTTATTTGTGATCATTGGTCCACAGAACTTAGTTGGAGTCAGCTTTTATATAAGTGCCTGATACCAGTTGACCAGTACCATACCTTCACAAGTGAACAGAACAAGCAAGCTCGCAGGTTTCTGTTTGGGTCCTTTGGAACAGTTTCCAGCGACATGTTTCTCACACAAGCGTCAGAAAGATAATGCAGTATCCGGTGGGGCGCATTGATAACTAAGAAAATAGATCTTAGTAAATGTCAAAGTAATTTCAAATTTAGATATCTCTTGTGACCATGGTGACCTAAAATCTACATTTAAATATATGCCAAATACTCTGAATTTAATGTTAAATGATGTTACATTATTTTGGTATGATTCCTATCTGACATCTAACCGGATCTCGTAGAGATAATATTTAGGTGTTGTTCGGTCGATCACCCTGTTTACTTGTATTCTGAATACACAGTTTCAGAATTAACGGTTTGGCAGCAGGCCATCGGTTGATGCTTATCTTTATCACAATAATCAGCTGATGATTTCATTCTCTGTACCTGAGTATGATTCAGTTATATTATGGGCAAGTTATGACTCAAAGCATCGGTACATTAGCAATATAACCAAAGTGAAAATATTGTTTCTATTAATTAACAACAACGCATGGATGAACACTGATTTATACTGTGATAACATTAGTCTAACATTTTTTTCTATTTGAAAAAAATATGGGGTTTTGTGGATCACGAGATGATGCTCTTCGAGTAGACAATGGTGTCTTACAAAACGAATGTTTTGTTGACGTACTGAACATTGTACCACATGCAATATTTCTCCTAATTAGTGTGTTTATTCTCATTGTTTGGAACCGATCTGTTCTCGGCCAGCTTCATGTAACAACATGGGTGCATTATCATGGACATTCACTCCGATGGACTGTCACCCTAGTGCTGGTGATAAGCTGTGGTGTAGGAATTGCAGAAGGTGTGATGTCTGATTACATGGACCAGGATACTGTCAATGTGCATACATTTCTTCCACAATGCTTGGCCCTTGTTGCGGCTTTAGGAAGTATTACCTACTATCACAATGTGGAACAATGGAACTCACCAAGATTTCTCCTGGTATTGATGGGATACTGGTTATCAATGATTGTCCTAAAATTTTTGAAAGCATTTTCTTTATACAAAAATGAAGTGATACACGTTCATCTGCGCGTTTGGCTTACTTGGTTTGATGTTTTCCTCTACCTGATACTGCTGTTAGTTGAACTAAATGTTTTAAGAGTACAGGTAGGTTTTCAAATTGTTAAGCAATGAAGTTTTAATATAAAAATGTCCAATACCTGTATTTTACTAAATAAGATATGTATACAATATACTTGAGATGAAAGAATATCTGTCATTATAGGGTAAAGTTTAATGTTATATACGTACACACTGTATAGGTGATTTCTGTAGGATTTTTCTGGCATGTCCAGAAAGACAATTCCAAAATTTTGATGAGTGCCAATACCATGAGATAAGTGGGCTTTCAACTCTCATGACTATCTTCTCCAGGCTTGTTTCTTCTTCATTAACAACTGCTTAGTTGAGTAATTTTCTGTTACTCATTCTTAAACCAAAACAATTTTTCATTCAGTGATTTTTGGGACTCCGATATTTGAGTTGTGGACTCATGCTTATCCTGTTGAATTTTTTCAAATTTTGAGACCCCACTATATCTCAGTATTAGGACTCTTAAAAAGATCCTTTAAAAATTTACTGACTTCATATAAGTTTGAACCTATATGTATATAGGCCTTTACTACTGGCCGTATTCAGGGATATACTTAATTTTATGGTACTTATGACTCTTCCTCACAATGAGAAACATAATGGCTTACCAATCTATGTAAAACTGATTGATCTTGCATACACTGTTTTGGATGCATTGTTTCTCATTACAATGCTAACTATATACCTCAATACTGGTAATAATAACTAAGTAATAAGACTCACTGCATATATCATGGACATTTTCTAACTCAAATCATGACATTTCATGCTTGAATGCAGATTTTGTATTTTGATTGTTCACTATCATTTCCCTTTCTTCTACAGAGGTATGCTTTTTTCAAGAAGTATATTCCAGCTCACTCATCGAAAGACTTGGGTACATCCAAGTATATACATGACCATGTGAATCTTCTCTCTAAAGCTACCTTTTGGTGGCTTAACTCAACCCTAATGGAGGGTTATAAAAACCCACTAGAGATAGAGGACCTTGGACCTTTACCTAAGGTTACAACCTGTTATTTTGTAAAATTTTGCAATATATGTATTTCAAAATTTGATTTAAATGAAAGTCAGTTGTGCAAATAAAAAGTGTATCAAAACAATATTTTTGGCAAAAAACATGCATGTTCAGAATTAATTCAAATGTTAATGTAAAAGTGCAATCCGTGTAACATATTTCAATTGTCTGTTTCTTCAATAAATATTTGTTGAACATTTGTTTGATAATGATATTTTGTATGAGTACATTTTCCTATAAATTCACATACATGTTCCATTTCTTACTTTTTGATAAATTTTATATCCAGAATGAGGGAGCTGTTACTCAGTATGCTAAATTACATGCTTCATTTGAAGAAGAAAAGGTAAGTTATTTTGTGTTCATATCTCAACCAAATGTGTCTTTTTTTAATAAATCACAAAATTCTTGATGGGAGATATTGGAGGACACTGCTTATGAATACTGAATATATAAAAAGAATTTTCGTTAAAGCAAGGTTGCAAATAATTCTGATACATTATTCTGAATTTTTCTCAATGCATTTTCAATTATTGATTTATAAAAAAAACATTTAAAAAAGATGGAAATATAACTGACATGAGGTTTTTTATTGATGATAATTTAACAAAATCAGCATGACTACAGAGTAGGAATCATCTGCATGCTTAACAAATAATATCATTGTACATGGATTAGAACAGATATATGTTCACATTGATTAATTGATTACATGTATTTACAAGTTTTTTGACCTAAGGCAATGTTTTCGATTTAGTATAAAGCATCTTGCAGCAACAAATCACCATCATTTCACAAGACCTACTTAAGAGCATTTTGGCCGATGTTGATGTTTGCTGGAGTACTGCGGTTGTTTGGTGTCCTGCTGTCCTTCGTAGGACCCTGGTGTATAGAACACATTGTGGATTACAGCTATGCTGTGAAGTCCGGGACCAATGTTAACCAGACTGATCCTTCTACACAGACTTATAGAGTCAACAATACCACTGATAACTCTACAATCTTCACTGAACCCAATGGAAAGGTTTGAAGTCAATTGTGTTTTATTATTTTCATCACTCTAACAAAAGAAAAAAATTCTGTTTTATGTTTTTACCATACAGATATGGAATTAGTCTTTTTGATTTTTTTTCTTTAATTTCAATGCAGTGTGCAATATAGAAAAAAAATATGTGAGGAGATTAAAATTGACAAATATGATGGTATCGAATATTATTTCTCTTTTTGTTTTTTTGCTTCACTAATTAAAATTTCCATTGTTGATTTGTCAGTGGGATACATCATATATACATGAACCTCAAACATTGAGGCTGCAAGTAACTTGAGTAATGCTAAAGAAACCAAATACCCATAACATAAAATAAATGTTATAGGTAAATATGAAGCAAAATGTGAAATGAATTTACATTACATGTATCATCATCAGAATGTATTTTACAGTCTATGTTGTAATAAGTAGAAGAACAAAGTTATAATGAATTTTTCTTCACAGAATACTCTGCTGTATGTGGAAGTGTCCAACTTTTTCTCCAATGGCTATGTGTTGTGTGTGATCCTGTTTGTCAGCACAGTTTTGGAACACACCCTGATGCAGAATCATCATTTTATTGTCATCAGACAGGGCATTAGATTAAAGGCTGCTCTACAGGTCAGTCCAGGTCAAAAATCAGGTTCATAGGTTAGAAAATGTCGGGTATTCAAAAAGTATTCATTTTAGTACAGGTTAAAAGCAGATTCATAAGTAAGAAAGGATCGAGGGTTTCAAAAAGTTCACAGTTTATTACAAGTCGAAAATCAGGTTCATAGGTCAGAGAGGGTTGGTTAAGAGGTTCATAGGACAGTGCAGGATAAAAATGGGATCAATTAGTCAGTAAAGGTAAGTAATTAGTGAGCTTTAGAGATTGAAAATTGTCAGAGGTTAAAAGGATCATAAGTCAGAAAGGGTTGAAATGTTTATATTACAATGGCATAGGAGTCTTCATTCTGTATTTCTGTGTATCATATAGACTACAACTCAAAATTCAAAAATATAGATTTTTACACTATTTTGTCATCAGTCTGTATTTTTATGTATCATAGGCTACAACTTAGGCTTTTTTTGGTAAATCTACATAAAAAAGTCAAACCTGTGAATAAAAACATATATGTACATATAATTTTGAAGTTATTGATTTGCTTTTCAGACCATGATATTTGGTAAAGCATTAAAGTTGTCCAGTCTGGTCATCAACAGTGGAAAGATGACCATTGGTCAGATCATGAACCACATTTCCATGGACACCATGTTTCTGATGTACCTCTTCTTCTTCATCCACTTCATCTGGGGAGGACCTCTACAGGTAAATATATGTCTACAGGTAAGCACCTCCCAGTCTACAGGTAAATATATGTCTACAGGTAAACACCTCCAAGTCTACAGATGAATATGTATCTACAGTATTGTAAACACCTACCTGTTTAGAGGTAGATGTATGTCTACAGGCAAACACCTCCCAATTTACAGGTATATATATGTCTACAAGCAAACACCTCCCAATCTACAGGTAGATGTATGTCTACAGGTAAACACCTCCCAATCTACAGGTAAATATATGTCTACAGGCAAACACCTCCCAATCTACAGGTATATATATGTCTACAGGCAAACACCACCCAATCTACAGGTAGATGTATGTCTGCAGGCAAACACCTCCCAATCTATAGGTATATATATGTCTACAGGCAAACACCACCCAATCTACAGGTAGATGTATGTCTGCAGGCAAACACCTCCCAATCTACAGGTATATGTATGTCTACAGGCAAACACCTCTCAATCTACAGGTAAATGTATGTCTACAGGTAAACACCTCCCAATCTACAGGTAGATGTATGTCTACAGGTAAACACCTCTCTATTTATAGGTAAATATATATATGCAGGTACTGTAAACACCTACCTGTTTAGAGGTAGATGTATGTCTACAGGCAAACACCTCCCAATCTACAGGTAGATGTATGTCTACAGGTAAACACCTCCCAATCTACAGGTAAATATATGTCTACAGGCAAACACCTCCCAATCTACAGGTATATATATATGTCTACAGGCAAACACCACCCAATCTACAGGTAGATGTATGTCTACAGGTAAACACCTCCCAATCTACAGGTAAATATATGTCTACAGGCAAACACCTCCCAATCTACAGGTATATATATGTCTACAGGCAAACACCACCCAATCTACAGGTAGATGTATGTCTGCAGGCAAACACCTCCCAATCTATAGGTATATATATGTCTATACAGGTAGATGTATGTCTGCAGGCAAACACCTCCCAATCTACAGGTATATATATGTCTACAGGCAAACACCTCTCAATCTACAGGTAAATGTATGTCTACAGGTAAACACCTCCCAATCTACAGGTAGATGTATGTCTACAGGTAAACACCTCTCTATTTATAGGTAAATATATATATGCAGGTACTGTAAACACCTACCTGTTTAGAGGTAGATGTATGTCTACAGGCAAACACCTCCCAATCTACAGGTATATATATGTCTACAGGCAAACACCTCCCAATCTACAGGTAGATGTATGTCTACAGGTAAACACCTCCCAATCTACAGGTAAATATATGTCTACAGGCAAACACCTCCCAATCTACAGGTATATATATATGTCTATAGATGTATGTCTGCAGGCAAACACCTCCCAATCTACAGGTATATATATGTCTACAGGCAAACACCACCCAATCTACAGGTAGATGTATGTCTGCAGGCAAACACCTCCCAATCTACAGGTATATATATGTCTACAGGCAAACACCTCTCAATCTACAGGTAAATGTATGTCTACAGGTAAACACCTCCCAATCTACAGGTATATGTATGTCTACAGGTAAACACCTCTCTATTTATAGGTAAATATATATATGCAGGTACTGTAAACACCTACCTGTCTAGAGATAAATGTGTGTCTAAAGATAAGCACCTGCCACTCTATAGATAAAAACCTTTATAAAACCTACAAACAGGTAAAACACATACCTGATTAAACATAAATACCTTCACACTTGCATTACTGTGAAGGTTGCCAACTGGTACAATTGTGTTTTAGAGTATAACAACTAAATGGTAATGGTACACCTGTGTTATGTACTCTACCTACTGGTATACTTATATTGTACACTGTAGATCACTTAAACTAGTTCACCTCTGTTTTTTACCATAATAAACTTTGCTCTTGTCTTGTGATGTAGATCACACTAATACACTGGCATTGTAACATCATGATTACTAGTACAATCTTTCTTTTTAGATCATACTTGCCCTGTTGCTGATGTACTATAAACTAGGCTGGAGTGCTGTTATAGGTGGATCACTTGTCATACTAGCTGTCCCCCTACAATACTTCACTGGCAACGGTCTGTCAAATGTCCAGAAGAAATGTATGGTAGGTACCAGTTTCCTGGTTAATATTTGGTGCAAATTAAGACTGTAGTACATGTAAAAATACATTGTAGTATTAGTGTTACAGTATATTGCAGTGCGATCCAAGTTTGACAGGCAATATACATTGAATTGAATTTTTGCAAAACTGAAATACTTTAAACTTACTTAAATTGCCCCAATCAAAGTTTAGCACATTTTCAAATTGTAGAAAATCAATGTAATGATAAACTTGCACGTCACAATAAATACAATGTAAATAGCATACAGGAACTGATATTTTTCATGTGTGCAATCATTTTTTAGCTTAATACTTTCAATACAAAAAATGCTGTAATAAGATACTGCAAAAATATATCTAAGTGAATTCTTTATATTGTTTTTTCATATGACGTTAAACTTTACAGGCAAAAGCAGATAAAAGAGTGAAGAAAACCAACGAGGTTATACAGGGGATAAGTGTCATCAAGCTGTTGGCATGGGAACCTATTTTCAATAAAAGCATCACTGAGACCCGTACAGATGAACTGAAATGCTTGTATTTCAACTCGTTATTTCGTGTTCTATTGTGTAAGTTTTACATACTCTTTAAATGTTATGAAGCCAGATCTATTCATTGTACTTTCACTCCTCCTTCAGCATCAGTACCAGGTTCATTGACATAAATTCTATATGTTCTGCACTCAGATAACCTAATCACTATAAAACTGGTATTTTTTACATTTGTATCCATAGTTTACCTTAAATCAAGTTGATCTTTAATGTTGTTAGATTTAGATAAATCAATATTTAAACCATTCTCACCTGTCTGTTACCTACAGCTTTCATTGGTGTGGCTGTTCCAGCGATAGGTACCATGGTGGTAAGTTAATATTTAAAAAACAATAGAAAGATCCTATTTTAATGTGCAAGTTTTTCTCATAAAATTTCATTTTAAATTTTCCAAATTAATTGCATTCCACAGAAAAAGTTAAGTTATTAACTGTCCATCAAATTGGGGTCAAAATTACAATAACATTTTCCTGTTAAAGTGGAACGAAGCTGAAAGTCTAACATCAAATTCAGTGCTTGATTGGTCTGTTTTTCAAGGATTGAATATGCTTTTTTTCTTAATATTTGCAAAAGTAAAACATGTTTGAAATATTGCCTTAAAAAAAGGCAACAATCGTGATGAAAGATATTTTTGTGACAGACGTTCCTGATCCACCCCTATCTTGAGGATGAGCCGTTCACCGTGGGGAAGGCCTTATCCACATTGTCCTTGTTCAATCTACTTCAACTTCCATGCTGGCTTATCACTCATTTTGTCAACACCTTTGTCACTGCTAATGTCAGTGTGAAGCGCCTGCTGCCATATTTCCTTGCAGAGGAAGTGGAGGGACCTGGAGGTCGTGGTGCAAAGACACACACACACAGCATAGGAGTGGAGACAACAGATCTAGATGTAAGGCGATTGTATAAAAGACACACCAGTTAACAGAACCTTTTAATACAAATTTAGAGGTAGATACAGTAACCAAACTATGAATTACACTGCATCATACAGCTGTTTTGTCCTTCTATGATTCATTAGTGATACAAAGGACCTAAATTTTGAAATCTGAGAGGAAAATTGAAAGTTATTAAAAGAAAAGTCAAAATCTAGATTTCTAGATTCAGAGTTGCACTAGCTCTATAATACATTAAATTTCATTAATTTCATACATCTGATAATCTTTTAACAAACTTAATTACATGTGTGTATCCTAAACCTTGTCACCATTCAAGTGCATTCAAACATGACATGCAGGTTATAGCAAACCTTGTGACTTATAGTCAACCAGCAGTGTCTACCACCTGTAATCTTGAAGATTGTACAAAACCACACAAGTGAATAAGCACCTTCAGATACAAATTTAGAGTTTGATGCAGTAGAGCTAAACATAGAGCTCTTGTAAATATTGATGTTACTTCATCAATATCTCTATCTGCTGAATCACATCTTTGCAATAGCTAGAGTTCCTGTGGGCCAATGAGGCATTAACGCCAAGGTCATTTATTATACATATATAGAAAATCAGTTTCCTTGTGATACTTTGAACTCTGTTGGCCATTTGATAAAGAAAATCTTGTAGTGACCAACAAAACCTAATCTTTGTATAATCGTGTTGTCAAAGTCGATTGCTTGGGATGACCTTTCAGACTTGGTGGTCAAAGGTTAAGATAACTGTTTCAATGCCAGTAGTTGTAAATTGCTTTCCTCACCATAACTCATACCTTTATGGAGGATTTAGTACAAACTTTAAAATGCTTCCCAATGGATAGGGCTTAATTGGAACTGTTTTTCCAGGTTTTGTTGTCATAGTTCAAGGTCACTTTTATTATGAAAATAAATTAGGTTTCTGCACAATAACTGTAGTTTCCTTGCTCAGTCAGCCTCATCCTTAATACCACTACTGTACTTTTATCAATTTAACTGTTAGAGCCATGCAGCCAGATTGTTCACTTCCATGGAGGAAAAGTACAATTAGTCTGCTACCTAATAAAGAGGTCATTATTGTAAAAAGTAACAAGATGTAGGAGGCTACCTGGTCAATCCATCTTCATTACCCCTCTTCCTCATCCCCTTAGAAAATATTTTAATTGAACTGTATTTGTTGTTCATGTGTTTATTTATTTGTTTATTTAATAGTTGTAGATGGTCTCCAACAAATATCTTCATGTAATGGAAAATTCTAAATGCTAAACTTTGAATTTGACACTGGCAATATTGTTTGTTTTTGCAGAGTATAAGGTTGGGGCTGGTAGTAGATATTAGCAATGGAACTAGAAAAACCAGTTCTTTACTAAGAAAGGATGAGGACACTTGCTCTCTCAGCTCATTAGAAAGTACCTACTCCCGCACACCCATGCACAGTCGTCATGGCAGTAGGGCCTCTCTTCTGGACACACATGAGGCCAACAAGCGGGCCAGCATTGGAAGGACCTCGGCAGGCTCAGGTATGACAGGTGTTTCTTGTTATGCACCAACTTTACATCAATTTGTTTCACATGAATCAGTTATCACAAAGTTGAACTTTTTGGTGTTATCCAGGGTAGTTTTCCAGCCTATTAGATACGTTAACAGTATCAGTCTTAGAATCAGACAGAAACTCATTTATCTCCCTAAGGTTAACAATAAGATATTCATCTGAAGCAAAATGTCAGATCTACTGCCATACAATTTATACAAATTATATATAAAGGTTTATAGCGTACTCTGAAATTGCTGGCTCTGCCATCTTTTGTGTATATCTTAAGTTTGTTGACCTATAATGGGTTAAGCCCAAATATATGCAACTTTAACTAAGAAATTGAAGAGAAAAATTAATCTATTTATATGGATATAGTAAAAATTACTTATCTGAGAAAGACTTAAGATGATACCTTGTGTTGATATTGTATAAAAGCAGTTGAAATTCACTCTTTGTAAACATATCTCTGTTAACAATCGTTGCCAAACTGAAATTGGAAAAAGTTTTTGATGTCTCCTTGAAAGGTCCATTATTACTATAAATATGTATACTACACAATGTGCCCTCAATTGACTAGATACACCTGCATTCTGTCTGTGATATTACTTTGTAAAAGGTGCACAGTAAGTGCAACACCACACTTATCTTGTAAACACTCCTCTGAAGAGAACGCAGATTGGTCACATGTTTTTTTAATGGTGGCTAGGAATTACATAATTGTTGGTATTTTTAATTGGGCCCACATTATTAATTTTTCATTTGTTTTAATATCCCTACAAAGTGTTTCTTAATACATACTGCATAATTATCAAGTGGAAGTTTACCAAATGATGGGTATATTGTGGCATGAAAGCATACATTCAGATTTCGTTTTTCCCAAGCTTGAGGAAGATTGTAATTATATCACAGACCTTATTTCATAAAGGAATGACTAGTTCAGCATGTCAGGTAGTTTGATATATGATATTAAAGTTCTAAATTTCTAACCTCAGTGTTGACAGTTAGTGAACCCGCTGAGTCTGGACGGCGACGCCACACAAGTGGTGTATCTACAGAGGATGAGGATGATGTTGCAGATGTTACCACAGTAATAGAACCCCGAGCAACAGTGGAGGTCAGCCATGGTAACTTCTCCTGGGAGCTGGAAACTAGGGAACTGTCATTGAAAAACATTGACATCAGAATACCATCAGGTGAGTCAACCTGTAGAACGAATCAGTAAGATGGCCATACACAAGAATAGTGTTATACAGACAAAAGGTTTGGTAAATGAAATGGAACTCGGATATTATCCTCTACGAAAAATTTAAAAACTTAGTTTGTTTTTAATCAATACTTGTAAAACAAACTATAAATTTATGATATCAAGTGTACTAAGGGCTTTACTGGGGGAGGGAAATCTGTGTATCCATGGAAACCCTCGTGATTAGGCAGTTGACCCAATACCTTTCATGTCTGGTTTGGAAAACATACCCTGATGTAAGATTCTCTAAACTATATATTAAAGTCTTGGTATCAAATATGCATGTAAGCAAACTGACATATATGTTGGGGTTTTTTTTCAGGAAAGTTGACAATTATTGTTGGTCCTGTAGGATCTGGAAAGTCTTCTTTGTTATCTGCTATTCTCGGAGAAATGATCACCGTATCAGGAACAGTAGACTGGAACAGGTAGGCTTTCAGCCCAAAGTCACATGACATGTGAGGTCAAAGTCCTTCAAGCTTGTTCAGAAAGAGGACAGGCAGTTCAAACTTTAAAAATTTCAAAACAATACTTGTATACACGATTATATGATTACCTTACAGTCTGTGTAAATAATTATTTAGTGAAGAGAATTTTTATTTTGTTGAGTAATATATGTATTTTGATAAGTACAATTAAGTAATGGTAATTGTACTAATTATCTTTGGTCTGCAGAGGGACAAGGCGTGCTTATGTTTCCCAGAAACCTTGGTTACTCAATGCTTCACTTAAGGACAACATCCTGTTTGGTCAGCAGTTCCAGTGGCGAAGGTAGTTATACTTTATACATGTATCCAAGTGATGTCTGTCTATCCATTACCTGTATCCAAGCAATGTCTGTCTATCCATTACCTGTATCCAAGCAATGTCTGTCTACCCATTACCTGTATCCAAGCAGTGTCTGTCTATCCATTTCCTGTATCCAAGCAATGTCTGTCTATCCATTACCTGTATCCAAGCAATGTCTGTCTACCCATTACCTGTATCCAAGCAATGTCTGTCTATCCATTATCTGTATCCAAGCAATGTCTGTCTTTCCATTACCTGTATCCAAGCAGTGTCTGTCTATCCATTATCTGTATCCAAGCAATGTCTGTCTATCCATTATCTGTATCCAAGCAATGTCTGTCTATCCATTACCTGTATCCAAGCAATGTCTGTCTATCCATTACCTGTATCCAAGCAATGTCTGTCTATCCATTACCTGTATCCAAGCAATGTCTGTCTACCCATTACCTGTATCCAAGCAATGTCTGTCTACCCATTACCTGTATCCAAGCAATGTCTGTCTACCCATTACCTGTATCCAAGCAGTGTCTGTCTATCCATTACCTGTATCCAAGCAATGTCTGTCTATCCATTACCTGTATCCAAGCAATGTCTGTCTATCCATTACCTGTATCCAAGCAATGTCTGTCTATCCATTACCTGTATCCAAGCAATGTCTGTCTATCCATTACCTGTATCCAAGCAATGTCTGTCTATCCATTACCTGTATCCAAGCAATGTCTGTCTATCCATTACCTGTATCCAAGCAATGTCTGTCTATCCATTACCTGTATCCAAGCAATGTCTGTCTATCCACTGCCTTTAACCCTAATGATTTGTGTAATGACTTACTTTTTACTTATTAAGGTTTTGACTAATTTTACCCAAGCATTGTACCTGTTGTCTAATATTTGTCATTTTCTTTTCATTTAACCTTTTACTAATGATTTGTGTAATGACTTACTTTTTACTTATTAAGGTTTTGACTAATTTTACTGAGGTTCATTTTATCTGTTCCATAGATACATATTACCTGATTGTCTAATATTTGTCATTTTCTTTTCATTTAAAGTTCTTTTACAATCCAGAATTAGACTACATGTTGTGTCTATTAATATCTGTGTGCCATGTTTCTGTTTACATGATTCTCCACTGCATTCTTACCTATCTAAGATTGTGTTCTGTTATTACTTGCAGCACTGTGTTATTCCTGGTGAATGGTTCATTTTCCATTATAAAACACATATATAATTAATCAATTAACATCTAACATGTCCAGAAGGTAAAGCCTTCCTTACTGAAAACCTAAGAACTGATTTTTTTTTCAGATACAACAAGGTGTTGCAAGCATGTGCATTACAGCCAGACATAGCCAACCTGCCTGCTGGTGATAACACAGAAATTGGGGAAAAGGTAGGAATAGGGAGGGACAACAGAGAAATAGGGGGAAAGGTTTGAAAAGGGAAGGACAATGACACAGTAGTAGGAGGGGAAGTGGGAATAGGAAGGGACAAGACAAAAACAGGAAGGAAAGTACGAATAAGGAGGGATAACACAAAATGGTGGGAGTAAAGATGATAGAAAGGAGGGATAACACTTCAAAGTTGACACAATGAAACTGGTTAGTCAACATCAGGAGAACTCTTTACTCTAAAGCTTACACAGTGATATTGGGATGTGAAAATCACTAGAGTTCTTTTTACCACAACTGATACAACAAAATTGCAAAACTAACTATTGGATTTTTACAGTGCAATTCATTTTTATATAGTAAAAAGAAGGAAGAAAATGCTTTGATAGATATTTTGTGTACACTCATAATAATGACCATATTTATATTATATAGATATTTTGTGTACACTCACAATAATGACCATATTTATATTATATAGATATTTTGTGTACACTAATAATAATGACCATATTTATATTATATAGATATTTTGTGTAACACAAAATAATGACCATATTTATATTATATAGATATTTTGTGTACACATAATAATGACCATATTTATATTATATATGTACACTCATAATAATATATTTTTATTATATAGATATTTTGTGTACACACATAATAATGACCATATTTATATTATATAGATATAAAGTCAACATCAGGAGAACTCTTTACTGTACACTCATAATAATGACCATATTTATATTATATAGATATTTTGTGTACACTCATAATAATGACCATATTTATATTATATAGATATTTTGTGTACACTCATAATAATGACATATTTATATTATATAGATATTTTGTGTACACTCATAATAATGACCATATTTATATTATATAGATATTTTGTGTACACTCATAATAATGACCATATTTATATTATATAGATATTTTGTGTACACTCATAATAATGACCATATTTATATTATATAGATATTTTGTGTACACTCATAATAATGACCATATTTATATTATATAGATATTTTGTGTACACTCATAATAATGACCATATTTATATTATATAGATATTTTGTGTACACTCATAATAATGACCATATTTATATTATATAGATATTTTGTGTACACTCATAATAATGACCATATTTATATTATATAGATATTTTGTGTACACTCATAATAATGACCATATTTATATTATATAGATATTTTGTGTACACTCATAATAATGACCATATTTATATTATATAGATATTTTGTGTACACTCATAATAATGACCATATTTATATTATATAGATATTTTGTGTACACTCATAATAATGACCATATTTATATTATATAGATATTTTGTGTACACTCATAATAATGACCATATTTATATTATATAGATATTTTGTGTACACTCATAATAATGACATATTTTTATTATATAGATATTTTGTGTACACTCATAATAATGACCATATTTATATTATATAGATATTTTGTGTACACTCATAATAATGACCATATTTATATTATATAGATATTTTGTGTACACTCATAATAATGACCATATTTATATTATATAGATATTTTGTGTACACTCATAATAATGACCATATTTATATTATATAGATATTTTGTGTACACTCATAATAATGACCATATTTATATTATATAGATATTTTGTGTACACTCATAATAATGACCATATTTATATTATATAGATATTTTGTGTACACTCATAATAATGACCATATTTATATTATATAGATATTTTGTGTACACTCATAATAATGACCATATTTATATTATATAGATATTTTGTGTACACTCATAATAATGACCATATTTATATTATATAGATATTTTGTGTACACTCATAATAATGACCATATTTATATTATATAGATATTTTGTGTACACTAATAATAATGACCATATTTATATTATATAGATATTTTGTGTACACTCATAATAATGACCATATTTATATTATATAGATATTTTGTGTACACTCATAATAATGACCATATTTATATTATATAGATATTTTGTGTACACTCATAATAATGACCATATTTATATTATATAGATATTTTGTGTACACTCATAATAATGACCATATTTATATTATATAGATATTTTGTGTACACTCATAATAATGACCATATTTATATTATATAGATATTTTGTGTACACTCATAATAATGACCATATTTATATTATATAGATATTTTGTGTACACTAATAATAATGACCATATTTATATTATATAGATATTTTGTGTACACTCATAATAATGACCATATTTATATTATATAGATATTTTGTGTACACTCATAATAATGACCATATTTATATTATATAGATATTTTGTGTACACTCATAATAATGACCATATTTATATTATATTAATTATTATTATATTATTTTTCCAGGATGATCCTTTATCTGCACTGGATGCTCATGTAGGTAAACATGTGTTTGAGGATGCTATACTGAAGCGACTCCTAAGGAGGAAGAGGACAGTGATTCTTGTCACGCACCACCTCCAGTACCTAAATCAAGCAAATCATGTAAGTCAATTATCAGTGTGAACCTTAAATCTGTAATACAACACAATTAACTGGAGATTTTTGTCTATATTTTGTCATATTTATTTCAAAATGATATTTCTTATGATAAAGTTTTCATGTGTTATTTGAATATTGATTCATTTTCATATGCAGGTGATAGTTATGAAGGAAGGAAGTGTTCAGTACCAGGGGAAGCTGGCAGATGTTAAGAAAGTTGACCCAGACCTTTATGAGTCCTGGAGACGAGCTCTTCGAGACTTCAAATCAACACAAGAACCGAGGTAACAATGGTACACCATATATTAACCATGATTCAGCCACCATGTCTTTATATTGTGAAATAAATTTAGTGCAAATTCCTGCTTAGAGTGTTTTCACCACATAAAGTCTCAAGAGAGTGGTTTCTCTAAAAATGGCCTGCTTAGAGTGGTTTCACCAGATAAAGTCTCAAGAGAATGGTTTCTCTAAAAATAGCCTGCTTAGAGTGGTTTCCCAAGATAAAGTTTCCTGAAAATGTATTTAATCTGTGGGGAGTTGTTTCCCCTAGTATAAGTCTCTTAAGAAAAGTTTCCTTTTATATATTCTGAAATTGTTTGATGATTATTATTTCTCATTAACAGTCAAAAAGAGACATTGGGTGTAGACAACAAGGAGGCACTAGAACACTCAGATTCAGATGTGACTTTAGTGTCTGATAACCTTCTCAGACCTGAGGGTCATCGTCGTCCATCAGGACAGGTAAGGAATAGCAGTGGGAATGAAGCACTAGGACAGGTAAGGAATAGCAGTGGGAATGAAGCGCTAGGACAGGTAAGGAATAGCAGTGGGAATGAAGCTCTAGGTCAGGTAAGGAATAGCAGTGGGAATGAAGCGCTAGGACAGGTAATATGTAGTAATTGTCCAGGCAACCATCTTTGAATTGCGCTATAAGTATTTTCTGCTATTTCCATAAGAAAAACTGGTTTATCTCAAAGTACAATGTCATGTGACTATATCTCACAGTACATTGTCATGTGACTATATCTCACAGTACGTTGTCATGTGACTATATCTCACTATATCTCACTGTACATTGTCATGTGACTATATCTCACTGTACATTGTCTTGTGACTATATCTCACTGTACATTGTCATGTGACTATATCTCACTGTACATTGTCATGTGACTATATCTCACTGTACATTGTCATGTGACTATATCTCACAGTACATTGTCATGTGACTTTATCTCACTGTACATTGTCATGTGACTATATCTCACTGTACATTGTCTTGTGACTATATCTCACTGTACATTGTCATGTGACTATAATGTTTATATTGCATGATGACACATCAGTTTATAGTACAGTGACTTCATAAAGGACAAAAATTTAAATTCTCACTTATCTCACTGAACTGGGTGTTATTGGTTGTGAGTGACACTTCAGTCTTTTTTTTTAAGATGCTGGGATCTCTCTCACATCGGTGTCTGTCCACACAACTCTCAAACATGGAAGAAGAGACTACAAGTCAAGAGGGCAACGAGATGATGGAAGATCACAGTCACCATGACAAAGCTAGAGGTAACCATGACTTGGGCAGAGGAAAACCTTTCCATGATACAGATACAGGTAACCATGACAGGGAAACTAGTATTACATACATGGGCAGAGGTAACCATGACAATGACACAGGTAACCATGAGAGAGATTGGTAACCATGACACTGACACAGGTAACCATGAAAGAGATTGGTAACATGACACTGACACAGGTAACAATGACACTAACAAAGGTAACAATGACATAAATTGGTAACCATGACACTGACAGAGGTAACCATGGGAACAACTATTACTTTAATGGGCAGAGTAACCATGACAATGACACAGGTAACCATGACACTGTTACAGTTACCCATGACAGGGGAACAAGCATTACTTACTTGGGCAGAAGTAACCATGACAATGACACAGTAACAATGACAGAGATTGGTAACCATAACAATAACACAGGTAATAATGACAGAGATTGGTAACCATGACACTGACACAGGTAACTATGACAGAGATTGGTAACCATGACATTGACACAGGTAACTATGACAGAGATTGGTAACCATGACAATGACACAGGTAACTATGACAGAGATTGGTAACCATGACAATGACACAGGTAACTATGACAGAGATTGGTAACCATGACAATGACACAGGTAACTATGACAGAGATTGGTAACCATGACATTGACACAGGTAACTATGACAGAGATTGGTAACCATGACAATGACACAGGTAACTATGACAGAGATTGGTAACCATGACAATGACACAGGTAACTATGACAGAGATTGGTAACCATGACATTGACAAAGGTAACTATGACAGAGATTGGTAACCATGACAATGACACAGGTAACTATGACAGAGATTGGTAACCATGACAATGACACAGGTAACTATGACAGAGATTGGTAACCATGACACTGATACAAGTAACCATGACTGGGGAGCAAACAGAGGAGCTCACCAGCTTCAGTGCCTTACCATTAATCTGCTATCATGATCGTTTCTTTGGTTTCAGGACACATATTCCCCTAGCAGTGAACACAAAAGGAGATCTGTAAGGGCCATTCCTAGTTTTTGACTTAGAAGGGAAATGTGTACAGCATGCGCTCCTTTCTGTCACTTTGACAGTATTCCATGGGGCAGGTCTACCTGTCCCTTTCCCTCCATTCAAATTTAATTTGAAATTTCTTAGTTAATATATCATTTGTAACCTTCAGATTTCTCCATTGTTTTCTATCATTTGTACCCTTCAGATTTCTCAATAGTTTTCTGTCATTTGTAGCCATCAGATCTCTCAATTGTTTTCTATCACTTGCAGCCTTTAGATCTCTCAATAGTTTTCTGTCAGTTTCGGGTTTTCTTGAGGCTGGATTCTGTTATATCACAAAGCATTCTTGGGCCAAAGGGTACAAACACTGTTAATATAAGGCATGTGGCCCCCTGATGAGCCCCCTGGATCATGACCTACCTGAACAACTTCTCTAGAACTATTTAGCTGGCTTCTTTATTAATTGATCAATGCTGGTTACTTTCTCAAGCCATTTCTTTAGGAATGTGGGCCATGCGAGCATTATCATGATTGTGTATTTACAATTTACATGTATTTTTCTTTCAAACTTTTTCAAAGGATGTAAGCTGACTTTAATGATAATCTTTTGATGTATAATTACCATAGGCTTTCGAAGTTGTGGTTTGGTAACTTTGGTAAATAAAATAACAGGATTTTGGTTGACAAGTGTTAGTGCTTGTTTGGTAAACATGTTTTAACTTTAATTGGATAACTGTTTAGGGTATTTGTTTAACTACTTTAGTAAAGTTTAAAAGACATTCTCAAGCTGTGGAATGCTTATATGATAAAACTATATGTCAGGGTTGAAAATGTTTACAGGAAGCAAGATAGATGCTGAATCATCAGGAAAGCTGATAAAGAAAGAACATCGTGAAATTGGGGCTGTTGCTGCTGGTGTGTATTGGAGATATATGCTTGCGTGCTGCCCTCCACTGGCTGGTGTTGTGATTATGATTTATGTGATATACCATGCCTGTTTTGTGGCAGGTAATATGGTTCTAGCTAAATGGACAGAAGAAGTGACAGATTTTGAAATCAGGAAACAAATGTCAGCTAACTTCACTGAGGTAAATATTAACTTAATATCATTAGGATTTCTTGAAACAGAAACACATTGTATTGGTAATACATGTTATGCTTTACAGATTTATTGGCAATATGGCCATGTCCTGCAATAAGCCCACCCCCTGACTGTGGGTCAGTTTGTATGTTGGGACCCTGAACTTATTACGGGGTAGATATGGTCATCTAATCTACAGGAATAGTTAAGTGAATTTGATAAAGGGTTGGGAATTGTATGAATTAGATGGCAGTGGTAAGTATTTTAACTTTATGCTTGTATAGGCTTTCATGTTTATATATCAAATACAATGTTAAAGTGTGAGCTACAGTTAATCACGTCACAATCATCTGAACATTTTGTCAGTTGCTTATTAAATCACCATTTCTGGTCAGTTATTTTTCATACCAATGGTAGAAAATCTTCACATTTTGTGAGTACATGTTTTGATGATGATGATGATGATGATGATGATGATGATGATGATGATGATGATGATGATGATGATGATGATGGGTGTATGTGTGTTTTTACGTTTGTGACATCTTTAGATGTAAAACTAAAAAAAACTTTTTCTTTTACTTACAGACGTTTGATAATGGTCAGTACACACGACTGTACTCCATACTTAATTTAACAGGCATTGGGGGTGCAATGTTAGCCAGTGGTCTTCTGTATATTGCTGGGATACAGGCCTCCAAAGTACTCCACTTCACCATGTTAGATACCATACTACATATACCAATAAGGTCAGTACCCCTCTAATCTACCAGACTTACAAACAAAATATAAAGCAATGAACTCAACATTTGGGTACAAATAATTCAATCACCATTAACCAAGCTAAGTGACCCACTAATCCGCCATCACTAATTGAATTAAGTGACCCAAAACTCAGTTACCACTCAATGACTAGGTGACCCACTATTTAGTCTCCACTAATTGATCTAGTTGACTCACTATTCAGTCTCCACTAATTGATCTAGGTGACTCACTATTCAGTCTCCACTAATTGATCTAGGTGACTCACTATTCAGTCTCCACTAATTGATCTAGGTGACCCACTATTTAGTCTCCACTAATTGATCTAGGTGACCCACTATTCAGTCTCCACTAATCCATCAAGGTGACCCACTATTCAGTCTCCACTAATCCATCTAGGTGACTCACTATTCAGTCTCCACTAATCCATCTAGGTGACTCACTATTCAGTCTCCACTAATTGATATAGGTGACCCACTATTTAGTCTCCACTAATTGATCTAGGTGACCCACTATTCAGTCTCCACTAATTGATCTAGGTGACCCACTATTCAGTCTCCACTAATTGATCTAGGTGACTCACTATTCAGTCTCCACTAATTGATCTAGGTGACCCACAATTCAGTCTCCACTAATTGATCTAGGTGACCCACTATCCTGTCACTGCTAACAGAGCTAAGTGATTCAATTATCTTACACCACTAATCAAGTTTTAACTGATCATTGAAACATTATTTCCTGATATTTTTTCTTTTTTATAAATCAGTATTTTTAATTGACAGATTTTATTGAAATATCATATTGACTAAATGTTAATATAGAGTATGAAATATATAAAGTATAGTGAAGCTTTATTACAGCAATATTCTAGTTTAATTATCTGGTATGTTTTAGTTTTCTATGTTTCAGTTAAATGTTTATACTCTACATTGTATATTATAATTAAGTTATCTTTTCCGGTATCATTGTCTTTGATATCTCATTTAAAATTTTTTTGTTCCTATTGTAGGTTTTTCGATACGAATCCCACAGGAAGAATTTTAAACCGATTCTCATCAGATATGTCACAGATTGACCAGGTCAGTAGGAATGATGTGTTATACAACATAGATAGTTACTCTTGAGATTGTGTCCATTATAAAAAGCCAGTGTATTGATATGAAACAAGAATAGTTGCTGCGAAAGTATTTCTCAGTGATTAGAGTTTGCGCAATTTTACCACAACTTTCAAATAAAAAGGATGAATTTTTGTCTGAGTTCTTTAAACAGACAACAGTTTTCTCCCCTTAATTCATTTGTAATGTTTCTGTTGATTATGATTTTATTTCTGCCTCAAAAATAGTGAGAAAAAAAGCCACCAGAAAGTAACTGCCCTTAATAGGTTCCATTACAGTGTCTACATTACATCTCCATTAATAAAGGTTAAAACTCAGGTCCTGTGAGGACTGTTTTACAAGGAAGCTCTAATAGAGGTTAAAACTCAGGTCCTGTGAGGACTGTTTTACAAGGAAGCTCTAATAGAGGTTAAAACTCAGGTCCTGTGAGGACTGTTTTACAAGGAAGCTCTAATAGAGGTTAAAACTCAGGTCCTGTGAAGACTGTTTTACAAGGAAGCTCTAATAGAGGTTAAAACTCAGGTCCTGTGAAGACTGTTTTACAAGGAAGCTCTAATAGAGGTTAAAACTCAGGTCCTTTGAGGACTGTTTTACAAGGAAGCTCGACACGCTTCCACTGACACTGCTTCAGACAAAATGTTTGATTCATATTTAACTGTAAGATTTCGTTTTTTCATTTATTGTTGTTTTTTTTTTTGGTCAATTTTCCTACATCCGTAATCCGTTGTCCGTTTGCCATCTTTCTTTAAATAATTTTTGTTATCGCCATTTCTTATGAAGTACTGGATGGATCTCGCTCAAATTTCATATGTAGATTCCCCTTTGTCCCTAGATTTACCGATGTAATTTTGGCCCTGATCAAAAAAACAAAATGGTGGACAGGTGGCCATCTTGGATTTTGACTTTGAAAGTTTGCTATCGCTGTTTCTTGAAAAGTGCTTGATAGGTCTTTCTCAAATTTCATGTATAGGCTCCTCTTGTCCCCTCATTGTGCCTGTTAAATTTTGGGACTGATCAGAAAAATAAAATGGCTGACAGCGGGCCATCTTGGATTTTCACTATGAAAGATTGTTTTCGCTATTTATTGAGAATCGATATGTAGATCTTTCTCAATTTTCAAGTGTAGGGGCTCCTTGGGCCCTTGTCGCTCCCTTTTGATTTTGGGTCTGATCAGAAAAAAAAATGGCTGACAGGTGGCCATCTTGGATTTTGACTTAGAAAGTTTGTTTTCACTATTTCTTGAGATCTACTGCATGGATATTTCTCAAAGTTCATGTTTAAGTTCCTCTTTGTCCCTATTTGTGCCTGTTTGAGTTTGGGACTGAAGCAGCCATCTTGGACTTCACCTAGTAAAGATTGTTATCCCTATTTCTTAAGAAATACTGAATGGATATCTCTTAAATTTCTCAGTTTTTGAAATATTATTCTTATTTCCTCTGCAGGAAATTATTCTTTTCTCCAATGCCATGAGCCATGTAATATATTGTTTAAGTAGGAATAGTTTTGTAATATACCATGCTGATAAAAGATCTGGTAGGACCTCATGTGAATTTGTCAGTCATAACATTTCCTATTAAGAAACCATAGCAACAGTAGCTCTAAAATTTTGATTGATTGGTTGTTCATAATTTTTTTTCAGAAATTACCAACGACGCTTGAGAACTTGATGAAATGTTTTTTCTTGACAATCTCAGCACTCGTAGTTAATAGCATTGGCACTCCATTGTTCCTCCTGGCAGTCATTCCACTTTTAGCTTTATATTACTGTATACAGATATTCTTCAGGGCAACATCCAGGTATATATGTACAGTCACTATATCTTTTACTATGCATGGTCAAATGTCAGTGGATCTAATGCAATTTTAAAGACATTTGATAAATTACGTGTTTAATCAGCTACTTGTTATTGCTATAAAGAAATATGGTTTTGTCTAGGTTGTGAGTTCATATTGAAGTTATTCAAAGGTGAAATGGTTAATTAAAGTATGGCTTTTATCATTTCAGAGAACTCCAAAGATTGGAAAGCTTAACAAAGTCCCCTATATTTTCACATTTCTCAGAAACACTGAATGGCTTACAGACTATAAGAGCTTACAGGTAAACATACGTAACTTTACAAATGTAGAGCCACTACAAGCTTACAGTTAAGTATACCCTATCAAAATTTACAGGTAAAAAACAATGAACTTACAGGTAAGTATACAATAAAAAATTACAGGTGAAAAACACTATAAGAGCTAACAGATAAGTATACTATCTGAATTTACAGATATTAATATATATATAACATTATCTATATTGATATATAATAATTAGGTAAGTACATGTATATACTATGAGAATAGCTGATGAGAAATAACTGTAAAACCTTAAGGTCAGTATCACTCTATGAGAGCTTACAGCAAAGTATGACTCTATAAGAGCTTACAGGTAAGTATAATTATTTAAGTGCTTACAGGTAGGTATAATCTATGAGAGTTTACAGTTAAGTATTTTCTTGTAATAAAATGACACTTATGTTTGTTAATCTTTTATTTTATTGTATTTTGTACTGCAGGATACATTGAATATGTTGAGATTTCAGTTTGGTAGCAGTGAATAACATGTTTTATTTTGTTGACATTCATGTTCAAACTGTTCAGTCTTGTACTTGATAATTCTGTTGAAATTTCAGAGCAGAGGGTCAGTTTCAGTGCCAGGCTATACAAGCTATAAATAACAACACAACACCACTGCTGTTTATACATTCTGTCAACAGATGGCTTGGCATTAGATTGGTGGGTATGAAACAAGTCTGCTATATAACTAGGATTCCTAGGGTCATGTTTAATAATCTTTAACTTGCTATAGTTTAGAGTAATCAGAAATATTTTTGATATGTTACTTTGTCAAAATTTCACAGTCACGAAGGTCAAATATGTTTGGAAATTTTAACTTCCTTCTTCTACAGAGCCCTGCTCTGTAACACACTTTATTTGTATATGACCTTATATGGAAGTTTGAACTGAAATTTTCATCATGCTCAGATTCAAAATGAGCTTTACATTTAAACATCTGATTACTTGTTAGTTGATATATGTAGTCATGCTCCTGGAAAATTTCGATCTTTCAGTCTGTTCATCCTTTCATGTCTAGAGCATAACTTTGCCCACAGTTAAGCAAGGATCATGAAACTTGATGTAAACATAGGTTATACCAAAACGATATGCAGTGTACCAAATTCATGACCTGCAACCCCTTCATTATGGAGTTATTGCCCTTTGTAAAAACTTTTTTGTCCAGAGAACAAATGTGCTTTCATTTAAATTAGGACAATGACACTTGGTGTATACATAGTTCATACTAAGACAATGTCCAGTTTAGGGGTCACAACCCCTTAATTACAGAGTTATTACCCTTTGTTCAAATTTTGTATCAAATAATGTTGTTTTCCTGGAGCATGCATCAGTTTCACTGATACTCCTGTTATTCATACGTATGGCAGGATTACATGGGAGCTGTGGTGGTGTTTCTGGCTGCAGTGTCTAGTCTCAGTGCTTGTCTGGCAGGACAAACCACTCCTGCTTCAGTCGGACTCAGCATTACTTATGCCTTGCTTGTAAGTACATCATCGGCCTCATTAACATTTTCTATGATTAAAAGGAACTGTCTATTTCTGTAAAGTTTTCTTCATTAACAAAGATTTCTGCAAAGATGGGGAGGGTAAGGCGTATCAGCTGACAGTTATATATGTAGAAATGGAATTTGGGAATGGAGGTAGAAATGGGCTTCTGTTCGTCCAGATGAATTTAGAAAAGACCAATGAATCTGTGCTATGGTGTGGCATCCATTGTTCATCTATAACATCTTCTTTGAAATAACAGTATTCCAGATTGTAAGCAGTTTGACCTGAAACATCTTCTGTGAAGGAAAATAATGTTTTTTATAAATGAAGTGGTACCCCATGGAGGTAGAACTAGGCACTTAAACGTACAATAGAGTGATTTAACTTAAATCCTCTTCTTCTCACCAAGACAAATTTGAACCAAGTATGGTTTAAAACTGGTTTTGTATTTTGTGTCATGTGAGAATCGGCCTTATGGCAGGAAACTACATGTTTTACTTTTAGAATATTGTTCTATCCTAAATCAAGTGTAGATTTGAACAAAAATCAGTCCGAATTACTCGTTCTACCAAATAGCCAGATTTTGAGTTTTCTGCTGAGTAAGGGAAATTAATGGGTGTCTTCTTGTTACTGTAGGTAATGTTTTGATTTTATTTCTACATGTTTCGTATACTTTGATGATAATCTTGTTTCAGGTTTCTTTTTATTTGAACTGGATTGTCAGACTTTCAGCTGAGACAGAGATGATGATGAATTCTGTAGAGAGGGTTGACGAATATACCCAACTTGACACAGAGCCAGTTAGGCATCCAGAAGGTTGGTGGAATCAGTTCAAAAAACAATACCTAGAAATTAATTCACCTAATAGGAAATGAATGAGATTGTTTGTTAGACGACTAGAATACATATTTCCCATTAACTTTATCTGTTTTTATCTCATTTCTTTATTCTATGTTGCAAAAAAGAGAAAAGATCATTCACTATCTGTTCTCAACACCTTAATCTATAATTTGATCTAAATTCAAGCTGATATAAATCTGTATCCTATCTTACCTGGTATATGTCCAGCAAGTTAATCGTTGATATTACACATTGCCTTTTTCATTTTACTGTGTTGCCCTTTCCCTGCCAGGTAACGTTGCTATAGATAAAGCATGGCCTGAAAATGGGGAGATAGAGTTCCGCAATGTAAGTCTAAGATATGAGGAGAATCTTGACCCAGTTGTGAATGAAGCTTCCTTCATCTTACAAGGAGGAGAAAAGGTATACTTTACATCCTAATCCTTTATGTTCTTCACACCTCAGGCTAACTGCACCACACCAGCCTCAGCTCATGTTCCTATGTAATATTTATTGTTTAAAAAACTAACAGCCTTGATTGGATAACAGAAATTCACGCAATTTCACATGGTCCATACTTTACAAAATATGGAAACTTTAATAACATTGAAGTTTTCATATTGCTATAAAATTGTTACGTTAGATATTTATTCTTGTTGACTTTTGTGGTATTCTAGATCCACAAGTTCATTTGTCCATGAAATGACAAAGAGATAAAAGTTGACACGAATAATAGTGATTTTGTGAGTAAGGTTCATCCAAGAAATGAAGTGCCAATGAAAATGCATGTGTTTGAAAACCACAAAGTTTGAGCCCCATGAAAAAACACAATTTTACACTAATTGTTCTTCAGTGACAAAGTTGTCTTCCCCTCACACCAAACCCCTGTGAATTATGTAGCCCCTGTTATCTATGAATCTTCTTCTGTGTTACAGATTGGAATTTGTGGTCGGACAGGAAGTGGTAAGTCATCCCTTCTACTCAGCCTGTTCCGGATGATTGATATATGCCAGGGTCAGATCCTAATTGATGGGAAGGATACAATGAAAGTTCCCCTCCCTGAGCTACGGTCTAGACTTGCCATTATCCCACAGGACCCAGTACTGTTTGCAGGGACAATCAGGTGGGTTTTAAAAGAGAATGTGTCCAAAGATCGATATGTCACCAAACAATGTAATTTGTTTATAAATAAGGATATCATGGACGAGTGATCTCAACATCGACCAGCTTAACAAGATCAGTAGATTTTTTAATTTTATTCTTGCCAGTTTTGCCAGTTTGTTTATAAATAATAGATTCTATGTGATGTAAATGGCAGAAAAAGAATGTAGATTAGGTTTTTCTGGTAACTATTTCCTTGTCCTATCAGAATTTATTATAAGTAAAAGTTCCAAGTTTATTTATATTACAGATACAACCTTGACCCCAAGTGTGAAGTTAGTGATGAGAGGATATGGCTGGCCCTTGAAACTGTACAGTTAAAGGATACCATTACTGCCTTATCAGAACAGCTTGGTATGTGTGAACTTTTTAAAGATTTGGTTTGATATAATGTCAAGCCTCAAGTAGATTTTATATTTCAATGCTTTCACATACAAGGCTGTTGCCCCCTGGATGACTTGCAGACAAGTTCTTTTTCTAAGAAGTAGGTAATCCTGGTTAAAATTAGCTACAATATGTGACTCCGTTAGAAAGAAATGCTCTAACTCCATTGGATGAGCCTGAGGCTAGTAAGCCTGAGGTTCTAGGTTTGATTCCTAATAGTATTCCAGTTCATACCTTCCTGGTGTCTTCATGAGCACCAATGTAACAGGTTAGGTCTCTGCAAGGGATCAAAGCTGAGAACTCCCGACTTACTTGTCTTACACCTAGTGGACCAGGTTAAAAGATAAGGTCTCTCCAGCTGAGTGATATATTACATCTGTTAACTTTCAGGGCTACATGTACAACTTCTGTATATTTTAATCATACCTATGTCACCTTGGGTGGGCTAATGGGTTACTATGGCGTGTTTGCAGGTTAATAGTGTGATATTTTTTCATACCCTGCTTTGCATTAAAGGGTAGTTTGATCATATTTTTGATATGCCAGTGGACCATATTAAGAGATTTCTGAAGGTACTTTGGTTCTAGATTTGAGTATAGCTCAATATACCAGGTGTTGTAATGTTAAATTGATCAGTCTTTGATATGTGTATTTCTATGGCCCATGTTGTCCAAAGACCAAATAACCATTAAACAAATGTCCTGTTAGTATTCACAGGAATTTCATATAAAAGGCCATTTTGTCTGTTCTTCACAATTTGTAGTTGTAGAGTGATGGAAAATGTTCAGTGTTAAAACATGTATAAGATTTAATCATATATTGCATGTCTTTGCAGATTCTTCTGTATCAGAGGGCGGGGAAAACTTTAGTGTTGGACAGAAACAGGTAAAACTATTACTGTATTCAACCTCACCAGACTCTTATAACCACACTCTTCCCTTTTCTGTAAAATAGAACAAGTTCTATTTAATTAGACCTTATCAGAAGGCTGTTGATCTCTCAAAGATGTTATCTTAGAATGATAGTGATGCAAAACACAAAATAATAAAGCAAAGTGAGTTTCTTCATTTTCTCTGCAGCTATAAAATTAGATTTTAACCAAAGGATGATAACTAAAGATTAAAAGATCTTGTATAATAATCAGATGTAAACAAGAGGAATGACAGTGTTTCTGTGTTGACAGCTGTTTTGTCTGGCACGAGCATTCCTCCGAGAGAACCAGATCCTGATTTTAGATGAGGCAACAGCTTCCATAGATTTGGAGACTGACATCAAACTACAAAATGTGATATCTACTGCCTTTCAGACCAGAACTGTCATCACTATAGCTGTGAGTTATCTCCCCTCTCAAGTGTCTTGTATTTCCATACCTACTTTCTCCTAAATCTATTACAAAGGTATTTCATACCTTCCCATGCCCACAGTTTCATACATACTGTTAATAATATGTGATCGTCATAATATGTGATATGTGTGCGTCGTCCGTAAACTTTTCATTCAAAAAACTTCTTCTCAAATACTAGAAGGCCTAGGGGGCTAATACTTGGCCCATAGCATGCTGGCATGGAGCCCTACAAAGTTTGTTCGAATTAATGACCTTGACCCACTTTCAAGGTCACAGGGGTCAAATATGTTAAAATATACAAAAAACTTTTTCTCAATAAGCAAAAGTCCATGAGTGCTGATATTGGGCCTGTAGGATGCTTGGAGGAAAGGCTACCAAGTTTGTTGAAATGAATGACCTCGACCCACTTTCAAGGTCACAGGGGTCAAATATGTTGAAATTTTTAAACAACTTCTTCTCAACAACTAAAAGGCTCAGAATGCTGATATTATGTCTGTAGGATGCTTTGAGGAAGTGTTACCAAATGTGTTCAAGTGAATGACCTTGACCCACTTTCAAGATCACAGGGTTCAAATATGTTAAAATCTGTAAACGACTTCTTCTCAGTAACCAAAAGGCTCAGAGTACTGATATTGGGCCTGTAGGATGCTGGAAGGAAGGGCTATCAAGTTTATTCAAATGAATAAAGCCCACTGTTTTAACAGTAGACTCACTGTTGTTAGAGTTTGGCTTGCTTTTTGTCAGATGACCGTTAAGGCCCTTGGGCCTCTTGTTTTATTTTGCTATTACCATTTTATCACTACTTCAAAGAATATATCTATTATGTAAATAAAGATTACTTGAAGCATTGCATATGCACAATTTCACCACTTCTTCAATTATTATTGTCACTCTAGTGTTTCAGTAATAACAAAACTTTATTTTGTAGCATCGCATATCGACCATACTGAAATATGACAGAGTGCTTGTAATGGACAGTGGACGTATTGTTGAGATTAACACACCTGACAAGCTTCTGGAGGACACAGACTCACACTTTTATGCCCTTGTCCACCAAGCTAAAAAATAATCACTTTCTTACAAAAGTTTGTATTTTATATAGGTAAAACCTGAACAGTGCTTTATGTCATTGAGTCCTCATTATTTTTTATATTTGTCACTAGATGTAATAAAACTGACAGAGCAGACATGTCTGCTATATATGGCAGTTATACTGAAATCATACCATACAAAATGAAGCACTGTACAGATTTTGTATCATTAAGAAATGAATCTAGGTTATGTGCAGCACTTGAGTGATATGATTTTTTTTCAATACAAATTGAGCTGAAGTCATGGTTCAATGACTTCAGAGATTTTTTTTCAATACAAATTGAGCTGATGTCATGGTTCATGTCATGGTTCATTGACATGAGAGTTCTTTATTTTTTTCTCAATGAAAATTGAGCTGATGTCATGGTTCATTGACTTCAAAGATATTTTTTTCAAAATAAATTGAGCTGATGTCATGGTTCTTTGACAAAGAGATTTTTATTTAGAAATCTTTGAAAGGCTCTTTACTCATTAATGGTAATTGGTGATTTAAAGTGATAATCAATAAACTCAACTTGTGGATGACTTTTGAATAACTAGAGATTACCAAGACCGGGTCTGGAAAGAAGAACAGAGATATAACGGGATCTAGTTACTTTGTTGTAGTATTGACCCTGATTACTGATTCTACCACACTGCTATCTAAGATCTAGTCATTGGTAGCTATAAGTTTGGATCAGCTAATTAACTAAAAAACTGAATTTTTAGAATGAATGAAGCAGTGCAACTGAATTTTTCCCACTCTAAACTCCCAGTAAACATCAATCAAATTCTAGACGTGAAAGTCTGAATAATTATTAGTTATGAGTTTCACACTTGGTTTAATGATTGGAAACAAGTATGGGTGTAACATTAGAACCCTTTCATTTGTATGTAAACCTTCTTATGGCACAGGAAGAAACCTGGTGTGTCACATAGCATATCTGTGTGTCTCTTATAAACTCACAAAGCATTGGGATGGGATTTATAATACTCAAAGAACTGCTTCTTATTTATTGCAACTGATGAGATTTTAAGTGGATGTTTATGGTTGTCAAGGAGTTTAGGTTGTCAAGAAGTTTAGGTTGTCATGATGTGTTTAGTTGTCCAGGTTTTTAGGTTATCATGATGTTTGAAGTAGTCATTGAGTTTAAAGTTGCCATGATATTATACATGTAGTTAGGAGTTATTGGATATTTTCTTGTTGTAAGGATGTTAAGGGTAGTTAGTATGTTTAGGGTTATTACATTTAGGGTTGTTAGTATGTTTAGGGTTATTAAGTTGAAGGTTTTTAGGATGTTTAGGGTTATTACATTTAGGGTTGTATGGATGTCAAGGGTAGTTAGTATGTTTAGGGTTATTCAGTTGAGGGTTTTTAGGATGTTTCAGCTTATTTTGTTAAGGATTATTGCGATGTTTAGGGTTATTACGTTTAGGGTTGTAAGGATGTAAGGAGTTGATAGGATGTTTAAGGTTATTACATTAGGGTTTCAAGGATGTTTAAAGTTATTACATTAGGGTTTCAAGGATTTTAAGGGTTATTACAGTTAGGGTTTCAAGGATGTTTAGGGTTATTTCATTTAGGGTTGCAAGGATGTTTGGAGTTGTTAGGATGTTTAGGGTTATTTCATTTAGGGTTGCAAGGATGTTTAGGGTTGTTAGAATGTTTGGGGTTATTACAGTTAGGGTTGTAAGGATGTTTGGGGTTGTTACATTTAGGGTTGTTAGGATGTTTTGGGTTGTTACATTTGGGGTTGTTAGGATGTTTGGGGTTGTTACATTTCGGGGTGTAAGGATGTTTGGAGTTGTTAGGATATTTAAGATTAATACATTGAGGGTGGTTATGAAGTTTAGGGTTATTACATTAGGGTTTCAAGGATTTTTAGGGTAATTACAGTTAGGGTTGTTAGGATGTTTAGGGTTATTACATTTAGGGTTGTTAGGATGTTTGGGGTTATTACATTTCGAGTTGCAAGGATGTTTGGAGTTGTTAGGATGTTTAGGGTTATTTCATTTAGGGTTGCAAGGATGTTTAGGGTTATTACATTTCGAGTTGCAAGGATGTTTGGAGTTGTTAGGATGTTTTGGTTTGTTAGGATGTCTAGCGTTATTACATTTAGGGTTGTTAGGATGTTTGGGGTTGTTACATTTAGGGTTGTAAGGATGTTTGGGGTTGTTAGGATGTTTGGGGTTATTTCATTTAGGGTTGTTAGGATGTTTAGGGTTTCTTAGGATGTTAAGGGTGGTCAGGTGTTTATAGTTGTCTTTGTGTTTAAAAGTTTTCTGAGTGTAAAGAGTTTCATTGTGTTTGTTTTGGTTGTCAGAGTGCTTATGGCTTAGAATTAACATGTAGAATTGTATGGTGTTATATGTAATGTAGGTTTTCAGTTTGTGGGTTTTTTTTATTTTGATTTAAATGTATGAGAATTCACATGAAGGTAATACAATGTAGTATTATACAATGTGTTTACATACGACTAGATGTACAATTAGTCTTTTTACAATTTAAATCAAAATCATACTTTTTCTACAAGTTACAAAAACGTTTCTACAAGAAGTGTTTTTTTTTTTTTTTTTTTTTTTAACTTTAATTCCAAAGAAACTACTGGTAGTTGTTGATATTTTGTTAGCCTAATTGGTTGATTGTTGATAATTAATCGATGTTATTTTTGTATATCATAGTCATACTTTTATATTAAGCTTTATTTTGTTTTTTTTATATACATACTATTTATTGTAATTTACATTTTAATACATTGTTTTATATGCGATATTATTTGTCAAGTTTATTTTCTGGCATTATTTTCAGCTCACCATCTGATGATTGTTGGTTATTCAAATTATCCTACATCTGTCATCCATTGTCTATCTGTCTGTAACCAGTTCTTGTTATCGCTATTTCTTGAGAAGTGCTGGAAGAATATTTCTCAAACTATACATGTAGGTTCCCATTGGTCCCTAGTTGTGCCCATTCAATTTTGAGACTGATCACACAAGTGGCCATCTTGAAATTTGACAGTCGAAATTCCAAATTTCCTGAGAAGTCATGGAAAGATACTTCTCAAACTTGATTTGTAGGTTCCCTGTGGTCCCTATAGTTGTGACCATGTGATATTGAGTCTGATCAGGAAAACAATATGGTCAAAAGGCAGCCATCTTGGAGTTAAACAGGTTAATATCTCCATCTCTTGATAGTAATGTGCATGTTTGTGATGGTAACTTGTTGTACCCACTAGAGTTTGAGACTGATCAGTGAAACAAACTGACTGACATATGGTCATCTTGGAATTAGACAGCTGTACATTTGTAATAGCTACTTAGTATAAATTTCCATTTTGATATACTTGTTCCCCATGGTCCCTAGTTGTGCCTATTTAATTATAGGACTGATCAGTGGAATAAGATGCCAACAGTCCACCATCTTGGATTTTTTACAGTTGAGGTTGGTTATCACTTTCTTTTAGAAGAATTGGATAGACGTTTTTCAAACTTGATGTGAAGGTTCCCCTTGCCTGTAATTGTGCCCATTTTATTTTAGGTCTGCTCCAGAAATCAAAATCGCAAACCGAGAGACCATCATGGATTTTGAAAGCTTAAGTTTGTTATCTTTATTAAAAGTAAAATGATATGAAAATTAGAGAAGGGGTTAGTCTTGCATAGAACGAATAAAGATCATTTAATGGGGAATGCCAAGATCCCTGCGGGATCTCTTTTTGTATTTTGTTAGTCACTGCCATTAAGCTCACCTTGTCCAAGAAATCAGATGTTTAAACCTCTAACGAAATTACCAAGAAGTTCAAAGTCGTAATGTTTGACCAGAGACAAACTAAATTTAAGAGTTTCAAGTTTAGGAATGACCATGACAAGTTATATTTGAAAAGACATTAGAATAAAATGATTTGAAATATTGACATTAAACAATATAAGACAAGATTCATATTCCAATCAATTCATCTTTACGCCATTAACACCAATGAATAACAGCTGACCAATACTGGACCATTGGACCTCTTCTAGAACCTCATAAAGGTCAAACCACATTGTTTTAATTTTTAATGTATTTTGATTTAAATTGATAATACTGTTTTATCCTGTATAACTTGCCTGAAGATTCAAGTTGATTAAGACACTGAAAGTTTGTAGGGAAAGTAAGAAGTGATTTTATTAAGGAAATTATATTTGAAGGTTAAGTCAACTCAGCAAAGATGTATGTATTGAAATTTTCAAAAATTTCTTTTCAGTTTATTTTGTTCAGAAGAATATCTGGTGTTTGTGAACATTTGTGATATTTGTAGGGATGTATTATGACTATGTAATTTGAGTAAGCATTGTACAATCCATGACCAAAACTCGAGAATTGATGTTACAGGTTATTTGTGGTAAATAGTGCAATCCTTGACCAATACTCGAGAATTGATGTTACAGGTTATTTGTGGTAAAACATACAATCCATGGCCTGGTACCAAAGTTACAGGTTATCTGTTCCAATGTGGCAGTGTTCTCAATGTCTGTTACTCAATTATTGATGATACAGGTAAACTGTAGTAAATTGTACATGACCCATGGCTGATACTGGAGTAATCCATGGCCCGATACTCGAGTGTTGATGATGCAGGTTGTCTGTAGTAAATTGTACCATCCATGGCCCGACTCGAGTGTTGATGATGCAGGTTGTCTGTAGTAAATTGTACCATCCATGACCCAATACTCGAGTGTTGATGATGCAGGTTGTCTGTAGTAAATTGTACCATCCATGGCCCGATACTCGAGTGTTGATGATGCAGGTTGTCTGTAGTAAATTGTACCATCCATGGCCCGACTCGAGTGTTGATGATGCAGGTTGTCTGTAGTAAATTGTACCATCCATGGCCTGATTCTCGAGTATTGATGATGCAGGTTGTCTTAGTTGGTTTAATAATATTTTCTAGTTATTGTTATTATTGTTATTTGAAACATATTATAATCAAAATTTAAATATTGTTTTATGATTGGTTACTG